TGCCCACGCGCGCCTGTCGGGGTCCGCCGGGAACTCCCGGGCCGCTCCAGGTCCCCGCCCCCCTCGCGTTGGCCGGTGGCAGCTCGCAGGCTGGGGAGGGCCGCGCCCTGTGGGGAGAGGCGCTGGGGGCCTCCCCGACCCTGCAGGGCGCACGGTAGCGATGGCTGCTGAGGGAACTGACAGGCTCTTCACAGTCCCGTCACAGCCGTCACAGCCGCGTTTCTCGAGCTCGCACCTGCTGGCGACAGGGGAGAGGCAGGGGCCTAACAGGCAGCCGGCCGTTGGGGGCTGCAGCCTGGCGTTGGGGTTGCTTTTTTTTTTTTTTTTTTAAGATTTACTTATTTATGCACACAGAACTGGGGTACAGGCCAGAGGTCAGGGGCGGCGAGAGGCTTCACCAGAGACAGAGTGGGGAGCAGAACAGGCAGATCAATGAAGTACACTGCTGAGGGGAGCAGCGGGCGGTCTGGAGAGGTCTGCCGCGCCCTGGGGTCACCTCGGGGGCAGGCGGGGATCGAACTCGTGCTCAAGTGGCTTTAGCTTCTCAGTGCTGCGCTCTATCCCGCTGCGCCACCAGGGAGGGCCCTGTGGTTGCTTTTTACACACTTCGGGGAGACACTCTTGGCTCGCACTGAATCGGGAACCGCACCCTGCGTTTGGGCAGTGCCAGGAACTCCGTCTAGCGCGGGGTAGGTGGCTGTTGAGCGATAAATGAAGGGTGCCGAGGGGCGTGCGTGGGCACCGTGTGTTCCCTGGACCCAGAGCCCAGTCTGGCGAGTTCCCTTGCTCCTCGAAGGTCATGCATGGAGTGTTTGTAGGAGACCTGGCGCTGTGACAGGTGTGATGACTGCGGTGCCGAGACAGACTGGCAAGATGCCGTTGCTGGTGCAGGTTTGATTCTAGTGCAGGAAGGTGGAAAACGAAAAGGCAAATATGGCACGAAGCAGAACGTTTTGAGCCAGTGCAGTGAAGAAGGACAGTGTGAAGGAAGAGGGCAGGGAAGGGTTGCAGTGACTGTCAGGGAAGGCCTCGCTGAAAAGCTGGCTCTGGCCCCGGGCTTCCATGGGCTGGGACTTCTCTTTTCCCTTTAATTTTTACCTGTTAAATTTTCTGGCTTATTTTTCTGGGGGGTTATATTTAGCCATTTGCATCATTGTGTGTTTATTAAAGTACAAAAGTTTACCTCTTGTACTCATGCTCACCAGCTCTCAGCAAAGGGAAGATGAAGGATAAAAGTTGAAAACCCTGTTGTCTCCAGACCTGGGATGACCAGTATCAGGAAGACCTGATTTGTAGTCATTCAGATAGCAATAATAGACACATTGGATTACCCTTTACATTTGTGCTATGGTTTTATTTTGTTTTCTCATTTGATTTTGTAACTACCTTTTTTCAGACAAGGAAACTGAGGCCCAGAGTGTTTAAGGCTCTTGACCAAGGATGCATGCGTAGTGTCAGAATCACTAACCACAGTGTTATGACAATAAGTCCTATATTTTCCATTGTAGCCGTTTACCTCTCTGCTTTTTTGTAGTTTAAAATGTCTGAAGTGGTATCAAAGGAAAATTGCTAGATAGTGATTACTGACTCTAAAGTCTTAGGTAAAACCTTTCTGTGTTTGCTTAAAATCCAACAGTTACGGTACTTAAATGCTTATTTCCGCCTACTGTGCTGGGTAATTTAAAGAAGTGATTATGAAACCAGCACGATTTAATGTAGTAGGGAAGTAGATGGAAGCCCAAGGCAGCCACCAAGAAGGTTTTCCTGACCCTCTCCCGCACACCACATGAGCCCCCGCACTGTGGGGTCCTGGTGAGTGGATGGGTGGCCGTGTTGATCAGGTGGGTCTGTGCTCCGGTGAGTATTGTGGTGAGCGTACAGGATAAGGTGGACATTCCTCACCAAACGTTTTGTAGCCTTGGGAATAGACCTGAGGAGGAAAGATCTTGAGTTTGGGTGTACACCGAAGAGCATAAGATGCTTGTGAAGGCAGCCAGTTAGAGAGGTCTGGTAGTTAAATGCGCCAGTTGCAGTCTTGAGCATATCCAGGCCATGCTCATCAGCTCTCAGTGATTTTTCTTAACTTCTTAAGAAATGACTATAGAAAGGGGCACAGAGAGGAACCCTGACATTTACGAGATAGAGGAGACTCCTGTGGAGATGACCAGAGGCAAAAGGAACGCAGAGCAGTGACAGGACAGTGCGGCATTCACAAAGGGGGACTTGGTACAATGCTGCAGGGAACTTTACTTGGATGACCCTTAAGCAACTAGGTATCACCTTAAGTGAGCAGATGTGCAGGGTGGGATATTCCCGGCAAATAAAAAGAAAATAAATAATGCACACAGTACAATTAGCCAACTGGCTGAAATATAGGGTCAGGAGAACTGGAGAGAAAACCCACAGGTGGCCATGCTGTGGAAATGTTGGGCATCGAGTATGTTGTATAACTCAGGAAACCGTGGTGTATGTGCTAAGAAAATGCTCTGGCGCTGGGGTACACTCCACTTTATAGTGGGTGCAGGATCTTGGCCCCTGAAAAGAACAAAAATGCAAGATAATACCTGAGCACAACTACTAAACACTAAGAATTTTAAGAGACAGTCAATCTGAATTATGGTGGTAGTTGAGCTCAGGCTTCTTTTTTGATTAAATGTCAACGAGTTATTATCTTTTAAAATAAAGGAGTTAGCTTGGGTGTTCTTTATATAAAATGTTTTGTGGATATAACTCCCAAGTCCTTTTTTTTTTTTTTTTTTGGAAAGACTAATACTGTAGTTGTTTTTACTTTGATAGGGCAGGTGCTGTGATGGGGTAGTTGCTATGGTAAGTGCATGTGTGAAAATTGAAAAAACCTTGTGTGAAAGGGAGCACCGTTCCAAGATTCTGAAATAGTGCATATTTACACAGCCACTCGTGCATGCACTTCCCCAAGAGTCACTTGACAAATGGCTATTGGGTATCAGTTTTGTGCAGAGGCTCCCTGGCATGGAGGTGTGGGCTACATAGTGAAACATTCCTGAATTCAAGTTCCAGGATTACCACTCTTCAACAGGAGGAAGAATGTTGCAGTCTCACTTGCATCAATTTGTATTTAGGTCTGTGAGCATGCCATTCTTTCAGGGTTATTTGTCTTAGTAGGTATCCAATTGTTAATTCAACTGTCAAAGTTAATTGGGCATTTCTTAACTCTCTAGGGAGAAGAGATGAGAAATGACTTTAAAGTGTTGAGCTAAGTCATAGGAATCTCCACATTTTCAAGGACTAAGAATTGGCCATAATTTTTTGCTGAATCAGTGTGTAGTAGAGTCACTAGATGGCGCTGTTTTACAGCGTTGCTCCAAAAGGATAAACTGGTGCAAAGAACACTTGAGAAGAGGGACCCCCCCAGGGCAAGTCTAGAAGTCTATATATCATGTATAGACTATATATCTATATATAGAAGTCTAGAAGTCTATATATCAAGTCTAGAAGTCTATATATCATATACATGCATACATGATATATATATATATAAGATGTGAAGTTCTCAAATACCATGTCCAGGTATCCTCTTACCCTGTTTCTTAATAGGTGCATAGACTTAAAATTGATAAAGACCTGAGGTCATCAAATGGCCCTCCATACCCCATTTTATAGATTTGGGGTTGAGGAACAAAGAGAAATAACAATAAATATAGTCAGTATTGTGTAACCAATTAAAATCTGAGTGCTTAGATTACCCAAATCTTTCTACAACATCACAGTATGTTCATTATGACTATGTACAAAGAAACTCTGTGGTAGAAGTAGGTGAAGAAAGCACCTCTAAATCCATTTTGAAAAATTCCTCTTTTTTAAAAGCAAATATTAGCAATATGATAATAGAACATACTTTGAATAAAAATGATCAATGGAATGCCATAACTTTTTCTAGGAATTATGTATACCCCTCAATCTCCATAATAGCAAGATATGTATGGATTTATTTATACCTTGCCTCATTCCAAAAAGCAATTTAAGGTTACTCAAACATGGCATAAACTGAGATGGTAATACCTGTAAAATGCTGGCATGGAAGACGCTGTGAAGTCTTGGTTTTGTTAGTATACAAAAAGGATGGCCTGGTATCCAGTAAACTCAAATTCTGTTGTCTATTCTCAAATTTGACTCCACTTTCTCTAGCTTGAGCACTAAGAAAAGTAGATGGTGTCAGCCCATTGAGAAATGACAAGAGACTGACTTACCTGGGATCATACACTAGTTGATTTCAAAGACCTCATTCTTTCCGTTATGCCAGCTGTCCCCGTGCGCAGTGAGAGGAGGACTCTCGGGATATAGTCACAGCAAGGCTAGACACCTGGAGCCCTCAGTTACTTCTGAATAATCCAGGTAGGCTTTTGATATATCAAGTTGTTTTTTTCCCAAATAATTGCATAGAACTATCAATAAGATGCTTTTCTGTGAAGAAATTGATTCCTAAAAAGTCTAGTTAAGAGAAAGGTAAAAATCATGAGTTTAATTTCTCTACATTCAAAATTATAAAATTTATATTGTAGTATGGAAAAAGGCATTTTAAAAATTGGTCAGATAAAAGAGGTATTCAGGAGAAGAGAAAAGTCCAAAAATAACAGAGATAGGGAGACAGTGACCGCAAAAGACAGTGGACGGGCACAGGGTTAAAGGGGAACAGAGCAGTGAGGTTGCTGAGGCCCAGGTATTCTGCCTAGCCAGGTTTTTTTTTTTTTTTTATTTATTCATACAGAACTGGGGTACAGGCCAGAGATGTGGAGGGTGATAGGATTCACCAGAGACAGAGTGGGGAGCGGAACAGGCAGATGATCAAAGTCCACTGCTGAGGGCAGCAACGGGCGGGCGGGTCAGGAGAGGTCTGCCGCGCCATGGGGTCACCTCCGGGGCAGGCGGGAATCGAACTCATGCGGAAGTGGCTTTAGCTTCTCAGTGCAGTGCTTTAACCAGCTGCACCACCAGGGAGGGCCCTTTTTTTAATCACTCTTCATTTTCATAACAATGTATGCTTCATCATCTTCGGCTAGCCAGTTTTGAACCCTGCATTATTCCATTATCTGGGCTTTTCTTCTTCAACTTTCTCTATTAAAGGAATTCTCTCATAGTCAGGATCCAAATTCTCTCATAGTCAGAGTCCCAGTCCATCAAAACATCTACTGTTTCAGTGTTTGTTCTGTAGCCGTGGAATCTTTCAATGAGTTGTCCTGTGATCCCTTGTCTGCAATGTGGTCATTAAGGATCTTACTCTATTCTTTGCTTGTTCTTTCTGAATGCATTTAAAAAACTTATTCTTGCTGTTGGAATCTCTTACTCTACTAAAGATAACCAGCCAGAAGTGTTTCTTTGTTGTTGTCATCATGAACATCTGGCATTTATTTCGTTCTCAGTTCATTCAGTGTTTATTGCACAAATAGAGGCTGAGTCCCTACCTGTGTGCTAGAACTATGTAGGTCAAGGGTAAAACCCAACAAGTCCCCTTCCCTTTTGGGGCACACAGGCTTCCGGTTCATCCAAGGTGGAGCAGCACCCCTACCACCTCTTTCTACTGCTCACAATTAACAAGTTTGGATGAAATGCAAAGAGCAGTTCCCTAAAGACTGTGAGAAGTAAGCAGAAGCAAGTGTCTTGTAGGAGTCAAAACCACAGGGTTTCTTCAGTGACTTGAGTAACCTGAAGGCTATGCAAGAGACCAAAACTTATTTTATGGCAAGAATATCTGGAAAATGGGCCCTGTAGTCCAAAGAGAGTGTTGGGGATCCTGTTCTCCTTTTGCACCTTTGCCCCAAGGGCAGGCTCTTCTTAGACATACAGACAGCTGAAACTCAGGAGAAAACCCCCATCTTTTTGCCAGAAGAGTCAGGATGAAGACCTTGAGAGATAATAGCTTGTTTCTCTGTGGGGGATGGGAGAGGTGGGGGTTGGTGGTTGTGGATTTGGAGGAGGAGAAAGCTTGGAAAGCAGGGTTCCTTAATTCTGTGCATGAACCCAGTCACATCTTGCCTGCACTTGACAGGCCCAAGGCAGCATAGCAATAGTTTCAAGAACTGAAGTAAAATACAAATAAAACTGATAAGCAAAACTTTCTACTGGCCAAGGCACAGACAACTCTCAAGTGGGACAGACTAATGACAGCATAGCAGGCTTTGAAAAGGGACTGAGGTTGGAACCGATGCCACAGAAAATGAGAATTGACTGTCCATGCCTGATCAAGTCAGTTGCCTAATAAAACAAAAAAAATTTAAATATCCTCTAGAGGATATTAACAGGACCTAGAGTCTACATAACAAAACATCGAGGATATTCTCTAGAGGTACAGAACCAGGAAATGGTTGGGCTGTCTTAAGGAAAAGAATATTAACACATGCTAATCTGCAATGACACAGATGATGAAATTATCAAAGATGTGGAAGCAGCTATTATAACTGAGTTCATGTAGTAAACATAAGCACAGTTGTAGTGAGTAGGAAAATACTCATTCACAGCAGAAAACTAAAACGTAAAATAGATGCACATTGACAGAATTTGAACTGAAACATACAGCCTCTGAAATATAATTTTCACTGGACTGACTCAGTAGCATTTGGGAAATAAGTGAAGAAAGAATCGTGAACTTAATTACAAATAAATAGAAGTTGTCCAATCTGAAGATCACAGTAGAAAAACAAATTGAAAAATGAACAGAGCTTTGAGGATCTGTGGACTGTGCAATGAGACAAACACATTAAAACCTTTGGCACACATGCATAGTTACAGCTGGGATCAATGTTCTGAAGAATGTGACTGAGGTTCTATAGAACATACAAAAAATGGACCAGATTTAGAGCCTTCTATACTTGATAGTCAAAAATAATTCATAGAGTATTGGAATAATAAGGTGAATTTATCAAGCCTAGGTAGAGATGAAATAAAAATTACTTGTGTTGCTACATACCAACAGAAAACAAATAGTAAAAACAAAAATTTAAATATTATTTTGATAACATATTTTGAAAAACATTAAATACTTAGAAATAAACTTAGTAAAAGATGTACAAAACCTCTACACACTGAAAACTAAAAATAAATGAATAAATAAAGCTAAAGTAAAGAAAATCTAAATAACTAGAGGGAGGTATATTGTTCAAGGATTGAAATACTCAGTAATATTAGAATGTCAGTTCTTCCCAATTGCAATAAACTTCCCAATTGCAATTTTAGTCACAATTCCAGCAGAGAGAGTATGTGTGAATTGACAACTTGAATCTAACATTTGTATGGTAATACAAAGAGCCAAAAGTTATTCCATTTTTGAATGAGGGTAACTAGAAACCAGGCATCTGTAACTAGGGGCAAACACCAGTGTAATTTGGGCATAGGGTCAGACAAATAGAACAGTGTCTGGCTAGAACTACTTCTAAGAATACATGCATAGGTACCACCTGATTTATAACAAAGGAGGCATTGAAACGCAAGAGAAAAGGTTCCTTAGTAAATGGTGTTGACTCCACCAGATATTGATAAGGGAAAATGAACTGTAACGTCGCTCTCACAAGCCACATAATCAGTTCCAGATGGACCATAGACCTAAATGTGACAGACAAAACACAAATGATTCTTGAAGAATATGTGGGATAATACTTGATGATCTTGAGACAAGATTTTTGAAACAATAAAAACTCTAAAAATAAAGAAAAGGATATCTTGAACTCATTTAAAAGAAGTTCTTTTCATTCAAAAATACAGTGTCAAGGCAAGCCAGAGTAGGAAATGAATAATAAAAGATTTGTTTGTGGAGTACATAAATAACTCCCAACAATTCAATAAGCAAAGGAAGCTAGTACATTTTTGAAAATGGAGAGATTCAGATACTTGAGAATATATTCAAACAGCCAATAAATATCTGAAAATATGTTAATAACCAAATAAAACGTTAGTTGTAAAATGGCAAATAGTAAATAATTCAAGTGAATGATTGATAAGTGCTTAATGTCCAGTTTGTGCCAGCTGTTATATGTCAGCTAATCCTCACAATAACCAATAAATAAAGGATTATATCATTGTTTTACAGATGAGGAAGCTGAGCCGTGGGGGGGTAAATTTCTTCTGACAATTATTAAGACAGAAAGGGAGAGTAAAATCTGTTTCTGTCTCAGCTCTGAAGTCCTTCCTTTTAGTTCCCACCCACCTACCAGTTGCGCTCTGGGTCGTTTTGGGAGGGGGACAGGTGCAGCTCAGCTTGTAGCTGCTCACCTTTAATTACTCAGGCTCCATGCCTTGGTTTCATTGAAGCTTAGTACTTGACTGAATTCCAGTTCTTGGTGTCCTAATCCTGACACAGTTGCGGATGTTAAAATGTGCCGCCTGGTGTCTCGCTGTCCTGTTTGTGTGATTCTCGGTAGTTAGGTTTGCCTGCTTCTGATACATCGAACTAATTATGGTTCACAGAAAGTCTCTCTACATTCAGGTCACAGTTTAAATGCTACCTCCATCACTGTAAAATCTTCCTGGTTTGTATTTTTCAGATGCATCACATTGTTTATTCCCTTTTCCTTTATCCCAAACCAGAGCATTAACTCCTCTGAGAGTAGAAACCTGTTTCTGTTTTGCCTTGCTGTGCTTTATCTTCAGAACCCAAAGAATTGGGCATTCAGAAATCATTAACGGAATGGACTTGTGTCCTAAGGTACAACTCATGTATGGTTGAACTATGGAACTAATCCTCCTCCTGCCCCTTTAGACTTGACACAGCCTAAGCATCCATCCACCTCCTTGTTTGCAGCACTTAAGGATATTTAACTGCTAGCAAATTTTGATACCCCTTCATCCAATAAAATGTTATTTTGAAGGATTTAAGTTGTATTTTTTAAAGATTTATTTATGCATACAGAACTGGGGTACAGGCCAGAGGTTCAGGAGCAGTGAGAGGATTCACCAGAGGCAGAGTGGGGAGCAGAGCAGGCAGATGAACAAAGTGCACTGCTGAGGGGAGCAGCAGGTGGGTCAGGAGAGGTCTGCCACCCATGTGGGTCACCTCCCCAGCCTGGAATTGAACTCGTGTTGCAGTGTCTTTGGAACACTTCATAGTGGTATGTTGTATTTTTTAATCAAAATTTTGAATGTTAGTTTCTATTTTAATAAGTCATAAATTCAGTTATGATCCTTATATGTTTGTAATATTGTACTTAATTTTCATGAGACAATATATTTGTAAAGCACCTAGCACTTGTTAGATACTCAAATGCTAGTAGATTTTTCATTAAAAGTTTTCATTATTAAAATTACTTGTTTATCTACAACCACAATGATACTCTTTGTGGGAACATAAATGGGTACAGCCATTACATAAAACAGTATGGAGATTTTTTTTTAATTAAGTCTAGACGTACTTTATGATTCACTATCCCACTTCTGGATATCTATCCAAAGAACACAAAAATACTAATTCAGATAGATAGCTGCACTCCCAGTATCCCCCAATATCTCAGTATTATTTATAATAGCCAGTATTTTGAAAGAATTAAGTGCCTACCAGCAAATGTGTGGATTAGGAAGGCATGGATATATCACTCAGCTATATTAAAAAAAAAAATAAAAGCTTGCCATTTGCAAAATGGCTAGCTAGCTAGCACTAGAGGATTTTTTTTTTAAGATTTATTTATTTATGCATACAGTACTGGAGTACAAGCCAGAGATGTAGGGGCTGTAACACCTCACTGTGACACCAGGCGCTCCCCACTAGAGACAGTGGGGAGCAAAACAGGCAGAGTGAGGAAGTATACTGCTTAGAGGGGAGCAGTGGGCAGGTCAGGAGAGGTCTCCGGCACTATGTGCATCACGGCCGGTGCCAGGGATCGAACTCATGCTGAAGGGGCTTTAGCTCCTTAGTGCTGTGCTTTAACCCGCTGCACCACCAGGGAGGGCCACTAAAGGGTATTAAGCTGAGTAAACTAAATCAGACAAAGACAGAGACCATATGATTTCACTCATGCATAATAAAGAAACAACAAAAAACAAAAACAAACCATTAAACTGTAAGAACAAAATAGTGATTACCAGAAGAGAAGCAGGAGGGTGTCAGGTTAAAGAGGTACATTTTATTGTGGATGGAAACTGCAATGCTGGTGGCAGACATAATGTTGTATACACTGGTTTAGTTGAAAAGAAAGTACACTTGAAGTCCATTGACATTATAATCCAATATTACATCAATTAAGAAAAATTGCGTTTAAAAAATATATAGATATCTGAAACACTGACAGGTGTGATCATACAGGGTATCCACTGTTTAAAACTTGAAATCTGGGGCCTTCCTGATGATGCAAAATGTTGACTCAGCATTATAAAGCTATCTGTAGCCAATGCAGCACAAGTTCCATCTTGGCCAGGGAGTGACCCACATGGTGCAGCAGAACTCTCCTGTCTCACCAGCTCTTCGCCTTAACAGTGTATTTCAGTCAGTCCACCTGTTCTATTCCCCATCTGTCTCTGGTGAACCCTCTCCCCACCCGTCCCCATCCCCACCGCTGGCCTACACTCAGATCATGAATGCATAAATAAATAAATCTTTTAAAAAAAACAACAACTAGAAATCTTTACTTTTGTATGTAATACTAACTCAAGAATTTAAGTATATTTGTAAGGCAGAACATCGACCCTGCACTCAAAGGGACAAAAATCAGAGAAATTAGAAACAACTGGTATTTTAAAATAAGTTTACAGACCCAGCTCTTCTCTGGATGTGTTCATTCTTATTTGATATAAATATATTTTGATGCTACAAACTTTTCAAATAGACTGTCTATTAAGATAGTATGTATCAGTAACTTTTGGGGGTATTAATACAGTTCATCTTATTTCACTTAAAAATTTCTTAGTGCCTCATGGAGGAATGTAACAAAGTAGTAAATCAGTGTTGGAAAGAAATTACCTCAAAATACTAGTTCGGTGTATAAAGATTGATTTTTCTGGTATGTGCTTTTTAAGAAATGGACCAGCTTTATAAACTGTTGAAAATGATAAAATTTCTGAATGATAATGGTTTTTAACATGGAAGCATATGTTAAATAGCTTTAAAATGAATAGCTGGAGCTAATTTGACAATAAAGATGTCTGACTTAAGTATGGTGTAACTTTGACAACATCTTTAATAATATACACACTCAGTGAGCATGTTTGTTTTCAGTTGGATTTATAGTCCTAGTTCTCCTTTTAACTTGTTTTTTCTTTTAACTGCTAGCATGTACACCATAGAACCAGAAAATGAACACTTAGAGGATGAAAATGCTCAGTCACCTACAAGTCATCAGGTAAAAACTGAAATATGTAAGACAGTCATATTAACAAAAATTTTAAAGTTTGCTTACTAGATCTCTTTTTAAAAATGGGTAGTTGATTTTAAAATAGCTAGTTTTACTAGGTCCTCAGAAATGGGCAAAAAGAATGAAAAGTTGACAGGAGGTTTCTACATATTATTTCTAAGACCAGAGAGGTAAGATTTTTGGAATAAGGGAAATAATCTCTTGTATTTCTTGCCATGTCCAGGGACAAATCCATAATTTAGATTACAAGAGGTCAAGGTGAATCTAACTTCATTAAAACGTTATGTTATACATTTGAAAAGACTCAGTTTTTGCAAACATATAGATCTTTTATTGATCTTGTCTTACTAAATTCTAATTGTCGGTAACTAGAATTATAATTCACATCCTATAGATGGGCTCCCAGGTGAGAGAGTCAGGAAGTTCCCGTCCTCAAGCCTCACCTGCCACAGAGGCCCTCTATGTCCCTCAGGACCGCCTAGAAGCCCGGACCTCTGGCCTCAGCCGTCAAGACCACCTGAAAGCCGGGCCCTCGGGCCTCAGCCATCAGGACCGCCTGGAACCCCGGCCCTCGGGCCTCAGCCATCAGGACCGCCTGGAACCCCGGCCCTCGGGCCTCAGCCATCAGGACCGCCTGGAACCCCGGCCCTCCAGCCTCAGGGGTCAGGACCACCTGGAACCCCGGCCCTCCAGGTTCAAGGGTCAGGACCGCCTGGAACCCCTGCCTTCCAGCTTCAGGGGTCAGGACCACCTAGAACCCCCGCCCCCTGGCTTCAGCCCTCAAGAGCACCAGGTAGGCCAACCCTCTGGCATTAGCCATAAGATTAAACTTATGCCAAGGTGGAGGAGGTGGGAAACCCCGGCCCTCAAGCCCCACCAGCAACAGAAGCTCCCGACACCCCAACCCAAGGGCCCACCCTGCCCCCAGCCACCTGGGGACATCAGCCATCGAATACACTCAGTAAATGTGTGCCTTGGTGGAAGCTGTGGGAAACTCCTACTTTCAAGCCCGAATGGCCACAAAGGCCCCCCCACACCCAGCCCTTCTTTCCCATCAAGTAGACACATACCCAGGTGGGAATGGCAGGAAACCCCCACCTCAAGCCCTACCCACCACAGTATCCCCTGGGCCCCACAGGAGCACTTGTAAATCCCGCCTCCCCACAGCAGTGGTCCAGCTGATAGCAGCTTAGGGAGGAGCCATGGGAGCCCCCAATCACACATCTGTGCCCTGGTAAGAGCACCCAGAAGCTATGCCTGCCAGCATGAGCTTTAAGGTGGCTCTATGCCTAAAACAAATCTCAAAGCAAACAGTGGAAAGAAAGAAAAATAGAAACGGTCAGGAAAGCCCTCTTGGGACCAACATACCACAGAGGGAAAATCAGCCTCCAGAACCCAACAATACTGATGTGAAGGAATTTCTCTGACTGATAAAGAGTTCAATCACCACAATTAAAGCACTTAAACATGGAGAGAAGGAAAAGAATGATGTGAGAAATATAATCAAAGAACTAAATATGAGAATAAATCTTTAAATAAGAAAATAAAGGAACTGCAGGGTGTTATAAGATCGATAAAGGAGCTAGAGAAATCTGGGAAAGCCATGAAAATATAATAGATGAACTGTAAGAACATATCAGTATTCTTGAAGATACAGTTATAAAAAGAAAAAAGAAAAGAAAAGAAAGGTACAAAGGAAAAAGAATGAAGAAGCACTTTTAGAACTATCTGACCCATGAGGAATGGAAATTTGAGAGTTATAGGAACCCCAGAGGGAGGAGAGACAGAGGAACTGAGAATGTATTCAAAGAAATAATTGAAGAGAACTTCCCAAATGTGAAGAAGGAAATGAAAATAGACATACAGGAAACAACACCAAATTACCATAATTGAAGGAAAATTATAACAAGATACTTAACAGAAAAGTCTCAAGATTCCAAGACAAAGAAAAACAATGATAATGAAGCTGTTTAGGGGGAGGAAACATAACCAGTAAAAGGAAAACTGGTAAGGCTGAGCTCAGACTTCTCTGAATAAACAGTACGGGTATGAAGAGAATGGAGTGACATAATCAAAAAATGTCAGAACAAAAAAGGTCAGCCAAGAATACTTATTCCTGGAAAGCTCTCCTTCCTATGTGAGGGAAAACTAAGAACCTTCACAAACAAAATCTCCAGATATTTGTTTCTACTAAACCTCTACTCAAAGGAATATTAACACCTTAAAATCTAAACTAGCAGAGGAATAAACAGAGAGACCTGTACCAGGTATTGAATAGAACTATAAAAAAAAAAAGAACAACTTGACAGTTAAAATCTTTCCTGTATCAGTAATCACCCTAGATATTACTGAGCTAAGTCACCAATAACAAAACGCAAGTACTGAGCTGGATTAGCAAACAGAGTCCAACCTTCTTCTGTCTCCACGAAACATACCAAAGTATTAAAAGGTAAACACAGAATGAAAGTAAATGGTTGGAAAACAATTCTGTAAGCAAATAGCCTCAAAAAGAAGGCAGGGCAGCCATACTTAGAGCAGATAAATTAGACTTCCAACCAAAAAGGGTGATGAGACATAGATGGACACTAGTGATCAAGGGGACCATATACCAGGAAGTCGTAACACGCATCAAGATATCCTTACCGAATGAGGGAACACCAAACATACGGGGCCATTACTGTCGTCTCTGAAAACAGACACTAGAGAAAACACATGTGGTAGGAGATTTCCCCCTCACACCACTGGACAGATCAATAAGACAGAAAATACACAAGGACAGAGTAGCCCTAAATAAATATCTGGACTCTATAGGACCCTGCACCCTTCTCCCTCAAACTTGAATACACACTTTTCTCAAGTGCACACTGATCATTCTCCAGGATCAACCACATAATAGGTCATAAGACAAACATAAACAGATGCACAAAGATCAAAATCATACCAACAATCTTCTCTGACCATAAAGGAATCAACTACAAAAAGAAAGCAAGTAAAACCTCTGTTATATAGAAATTGAACAACACACTATCAAAAGACCACTGGATTAATGAGAAAATCAAAGAAAAATTTAAAAATATCTTAAGACAAATGATAAAAGAGAACATAACTTTCCTGAATATACGGAGCACTGCCAACGCAGTAATAAGAGGAAAGTGTATAGCAAGCCAGGCCCACATCAAGAAATAAGAAAGAACGTAAAGAAACAACCTAATCTCCCATCTTGAACTAGAAAAAGAATAGCAGCAGCAACAGAATAAGCCAGTGAACAAAAGGAAATTATAAAAAGTCCAGCAGAAATAAATGAAGTAGAGGTAAAAAAGGTGATCCAAAACATCAATGAAACCAAAAGCAGGTTCTTTGAAAAAAATAAAGTTAGCAAACCCCAGCCAGGCTCCCAAAAATGCAGATAACTTTAGTAAATAGGATTATAAATGAAAGAGACATTACAACAGACACAGCTGAAATCCAGAGGAAAACCAAAGATTACTGTGTACATTATATGCAAACGAGCTCAACAATCTAGGTGAAATGGACAAATTCTTAGAAGTATACAATCATCTAAAACCGAATAAAGAAGAAATAGAAAACCAACTACAGGCAGCAAAATCTAAAGTGTAATCAAAGCCCTTTGACCAAAAATAAGCCAAGACCAGATGGTGTCACAGATGAGTTCTACCAAGCATTTGAGGAACTGGTGCGCATTTTACAAAAACTCTTTCAAAAATAGAGAAAGAAGAAATCATATGGAACGAGTTTTACAAAGCCAACATTACACTAATATCAACGCCAAGAAGACTGCACACAAAAAAGAAAACTACAGGCCAGTCTCCCTAACAAGCAAAGATGCAAAAATATTCACTAAAATCTTAGCAGACTGGATCCAACAGTGTATCAAAAGGGTTATACACCATGACAAGTGGCATTTACTCCAGGAACACTAGTATGGTTCAGCATCCAAAAATCAGGTAATGGAACTGAACATAACAAAAAAGAAAAATGAAAACAGTATGATCATATAAGTAGATTCTGAGAAAGTTGAACATGACAAACTTCAACATTTATAATGAAGGTCCTTGAAATTCTTGGTATAGAAGAACATATATTAACATGATAAAAGCCATATATGACAAACGTACAGCTACCGTCATTCTTAACAGTGAAAAACAATGTGTTCCCTTTAGGATCTGAAACAAAACAAGGCTGTCCACCTCACCACTGCTTCTCAATATAATACTGGATGTCCTACCAAGAGCAATTTCACAATAGACAGACACACCAGAAATCCAAATAGGGAAAGAAGAAATAAAACTCACTGTTTGTAGATGATATAATATATAGAGAGAATGCTAAAAACTCACCCCAACAACTAATAGAATAATAAGCCAATTGAATAAAGTAGCAGGTTTCAAAATCCACATACAAAAATCAGTACCCTTCCTATATGCAAATAGTCTGAAGAAGAAGAAATTAAGAAAACTATCCCAATTACAATTGTACCAAAAAAAAACAAAGTATCTGGAAATAAAATTAACAAAGGAGGTGAAAGACCAATACAAGGATAACTACAAAACAATGTTAAAAGAAGTTGAACAAGACAAAAAGAAATAGAAAGTTATTCCTTGTTGTGGCATCGTTTTGATAACAACTTGAATGTTCCTTTGTATAATTCTCAGCATTGACAGTAAAAATATGTTTCTAATTATAAATTTAATTATGAGACTTGGTGGTTTCATGAATTTATAAAATTATATTGAAAGTGTACTTTTTAAAAACCGTATTTGAAAAAATGTTCAACATCATTCGTAATAAGGGAGATGCAAATTCAAACCACAAGGAGATACCACCTCACCCCAGTGAGAATGGCACATCTTCAAACAACTAGCAACAACAAATGTTGGCGAGGATGTGGAGAAAAAGGAACTCTCCTGCATTGCTGGTGGGAATGCAAACTAGTACAACCACTATGGAAAACTGTTTGGAGGTTCCTCAAACTGCTAAACATGGAGCTTCCCTACGACCCAGCAATCCCACTCCTAGGTATCTACCCAAAAGACACAAAAATACTAATTGAAAAAGATACCTGTACCCCCATGTTTATTGCTGCTTTATTTCCAATTGATAAAAACCGTATCTGTTTTACTTCAGATCAGCAAAGATAGGAATACTTAGGAATATAGAGAAACTAAGGAACCTGTCTTGTCAAAAACAGGAAAACAAACCACCGTTGAAAAAGAAGGATCCTCGCTCGGAAAAGAAGCGTCGTCGCGTGGAAAAGAAGGGTCTTTGTCCTCCACGGGGGCCACTGAATAACTTTATTACAAATGGTATGTGACATAAGCAGCATAAGAGGAGAGAAAGTAAGAACTATTTGGTGAATATTTAAACACAGCCAACCAAGTCATTCTTCATCTGTACTCTTCAGATGAATGATAAGCCGTATTACCAAAATATGTAGACAAAGAGGAAATATTTCCTTAAATCTGCAAAAAAGTAATCATCATTTAACAAATATGTATTATAATATTTTTGTGACTATTTTTTGCCTTAAATTTTAGGCTTAGAAACAGCATTGATGAAGGGTTTTATTTAAAACTTTGTTTTGGCATTTACTTTTAAGTTAGTTGAAATAACTTTATACTTCTGGAAATAAAGCTCATAATAAAGTCATGCCCCAAATTTTAAACAGCTGCTTCCTTATTAAAAATTTTTAAACGTGGGCCCTCCCTGGTGGTGTAGTGGGTTAGGACGCAGCACTGCAAGCTAGCTGCAGCCACTTCAGTGCAAGTTCAATCCCCAGCCCTGGAGGTGACCCACATGGTGTGGCAGGCCTCTCTCCTGACCCGCCCGCTGCTCCCCTCAGCAGTGTACTTCATTGATCTGCCTTTTCTGCTCCCCACTCTGTCTCTGGTGAGTCCTCTCACCGCCCCTGCACCTCTGGCCTGTACCCCAGTTCTGTATGCATAAATACATAAAAAAAAAATTTTTTTTAAAAACATTGTTAAAGGACTTTCTTATACTTTTCTAGAGATTCTGAAGGTAAACTTAACAGTGAAGCAGATTGGTATTTTCACCTTCAAAATAAAAGATAATAAAAGACAAAAATAGATTACAATATAATGAAAAAGGGCTCTCTTGGGTGGCCTAGGAGTTAAGTCTCAGCGCTGTCACCTCTATGGCCTGCATTTGATCTCAGGCCAGAGTACAGGGCAAAGTGGACCCCTTCTGTCTCCCCTGCTGCTGCCCTTAGCAGTGGATTTCAATAGCATTGCCTGTTCTGCTCCCCATTCTGTCTTTGGTGAATCCTCTTACGCCATCTCTCTGGCCTACGCCACAGTTCTATGCATAAATAAATTCTATATATGTATAAAATGAAAGACAAGGAATTGAAATTTAAAATTACTTTTTTATTTGGTACTTGCTTTAAATTTTATTGATTTGTCATTTGGTAAAGGTTACTTTTAAATTCACATCAGTATTTTTAAGCTTCTCAATGTAAACTAAACTTGAATATTCATCTGGACAGTGGCAGGGTTGCTTGGTGTAGGACGAGGGTAAAGGGTATTGTGTTGGCTCCAAAGATTATTTTTTGAAGTTGGGGGTTGCAATTTGCTCAGGAACTAATTGAAGAGTTTTATATCAGTACTGAACCTACAAATTTAGGTATATATCTAGAGCCAGTTGCTCCCCCACTTTTTTTTTTTTTTTTTTTAACATTAGTTGCAGCTTCTGAGTGAGCAATGTTGATGAGCTTGCATTTCCTTGCTTTTTTTTTTTTTTTTTTAGCAACTTAAGAGAAATTTTTAGGAAAAGAAAATTTTTATAATTTCTATATTTCTGTCTGGGGGGGTGAATATTTTTTTTAGTTCCCCCCATTACACACACACACACCCACACCCTAATTTCACACTACAGAAATCCTTAAAGCATCATATTCTCTAGGTTAATAGAAAGTAGTAGGGTTACAGTTTCTTTACAGTCATATTTATATCAGCAACCGCACTGTGTACACTTAACTCAAATAAGAAATCTTAGCTGTTGGAATTAGTTGTGCCAGGTCTCGCTATGGATACAGGGAGCATACATGTAATTATTAAACTCCCTTTTGTCTTTTTCTCTTATCAACCTGCCTGGTGTTTGTTTGGTTATTTACCAGCCTAGAAGAACCCAAAAGGGAGCAGGATGATTTCCTCTGTGCCCTGACAGTCTGAGGAGCCCGCCAGGAGAACTGTCAGTGGCTGGGCTGCTTGTTTTCCCAAGGTGGCTGCAGAGAGATCTAGGACTTCTGAACATGCTTGCAACAAGGTAAAGATTTTTACCACTCAGACTCCTGATCTCTCTTCCCCTGTAGAAATCTAATGGAAACCAAGTGGTAAGAAGTCCATTTATTTTTCTCCCTAAATTTAAGATTGGTAAGAGAAATTATTAGGACAGCTAGTTTCTTGGATATTAAGTAACTCTTTTAGTTTGAGACTTTGGTTCCTTAGTTTTGGCTGATTCTTTGGTTTTTGTTTCTTCCAGAGCCTTGCCTGTTTTCGAAAAGCGAGACTTTGCCATGTTCTGTTCATGTTAAACGTCATATACTGCTTTATGATGTGTTTCCCAACTTAAGGGTTAGTGGTTATCCACCTTCAGGTGCTTTTCTGTGCTATTCCATGGGCCAGACATTTAGCTTCCAGTTTATTGCCATTCCTTGCCATGTTTTTCTAGTCGTGAGGTTTGGGTAAAGGTGCTGCCAAATCTAGAATCTGTCTTGGGTTTTGCTATTAAAAAAGGGAAACTTGATATATACAGAGATAACTATTTCTCTCTTTATTATTTTGATAAAACTATTTCTAAGGAAATCTTGGGAGCCAAAAGTCTGCAAATGAGGTTAACATGGGATATAATTCTGGCTTCAAAACTTAGCTGAAAATTTTTACTAAGTATTGAGTCTTTCCTTTTGCTGTGTTTCCTGCTGGGAATAAATTTCTGGGTCTTTGGGTAAGCTATAAGTAATGTTTATTAGTTGACTGAATTTCTATTAAAATTGCTTATATTGGACCTATTAAAAATTAGGAGACCTCTCAATCTAAATTTCTGATTGGAAAAAATTAAACAGAAAATACGGTGGGGAGAGGAGAAGGAATGAAAATGCAGATAAATGTCTCAGCCAGCCTTGGGGAAAGCTTTTTTTTTTTAAAGATGTATTTATGCCTCCATACAAGAACTGGGGTACAGGCCAGAGGTGGGACAGTGAGAGCATTCACCAGAGACAGAGTGAGGAGCAGAACAGGTAGATCTACTGCCATGGGGAGCAGAGGGGAGACAGGAGAGATCTACTGGACCCTGTTGGTCACTCCCTGGCCGGGGATTGAACTCATGCTGCAATGGCTGCAGATAACTCCACATGCTGCAATTAACCCCTTACACCACTAGGGAGGCCCACCTTGGGGAAAGTTTTTAATAAGAATAATCTCAAAAGTAGATGTAAATCCATGTCTTAACAAATGCTTTTACAAATTCCAGTCTCACATTGCCAGTAATATAAAAATGACTTTAAACTTATCATAGCCAATACTTGAGCTTCCAGAATTTTGTGCACTGATTTTAAAGATATAGATTTAAAGAGGAATAAAAGAGTTTTTTAATCCAATGTAATTAAGGTCAGTATACAGAATATAATAAATTTCAGTGTATCCCCTTCCTCATCCTCTTCCTTACACATGATACCTCTGATTGGTCTTTAGTGTTGTTCATTAAAAAAAAAAAAAAAACAGCTTGGATAAGGGTTCCTTCCTCTTACCTTTTTTTGAGAATTGGGTTTGGTCTCAATAAGACTGAACAAAAACTCGTACTGGTCCACTTGGGTCTACTGCCACCCCTCAGGAAAACTAAGGCATTTCTTCAGTGATTGGTCTCGTCTTGGGTCAGTGAGGTTTTAAACATAGTTGCATTAATAATAAAGGACTATTTATTCTAGCATAGTGTGATCTTAGTGTTCATCTTATATAGGATCCTTCCTCTCGGATATTAAAATGTATTAGAGAAAAATGTGTTCAGTGGGAATGTCAACCTTAGTAGAGCCATGCACGCTACCACCTGCATTCTTTGAGGAATTGGGATATTTTGGAGTCTTTACCAGGCCAGAGATGTGGTTCCAGAAACAATGCAAAGTCCATCCGTTCCAATCCCTTGTAAGTGTTTTGAGAAGAAGGAACATCTGGCTTTAAGGAAGCAGGGTGTCTCTGGTGCATATTTTCTGTCCTACTTTTCTTAGAACCAGAGATCCATTTTTAGGAATGTTAAGGGGCAATATCTCAGCTGAAGGAGTAAGTAAAGAGAAAGGACTATTTAAAAGCATGATTAATGAAAATTCTATGTCATCACGAGTACTGAAATTTTGAGTGGAGACTCGGAGCTCTCGGTTTGTGTCTGTGTACATCGTGTGTCACCTGCTGGGTTTTGTTTTCCCTCTGGATGGTATTAGAGTTCATTCATATCTAGTGGTTTTAAAATAGTGCTTATGTAAATTCTTTCTAAACTCAGGAATATAATAGAAACTATGCAGATGTTTTCCAAAAACATGATTTGGGAACTAGCTTAAAATTTAATGATTTACTTTGAAGCATGTTATACTATTGGGTGTCATTTTTATTCTGCCCGTGTCTGTTAATCAGAATTAGCTCATGTTAGCTAACAAGGAAAAATAGCCAACTTCATCTCCTAAAGTGTTTGGCTGATATGAAAGAAACTGGGCCTGAATAGGTGCTCATGTTAAAGTCCAACTCAGAAATGTCAGCCTGAGCTTCTTGGTCTGATAAACTTGCTTAAATGGTAAAAGTTATGATAAATGAAATAGGAATCTCTATAGAGATGTTTTAGTAATTTGAAACTTTAGAACTAGATGGAATTAAATAATAGGATAAAGTAAAAGGATTTCAGACCGAATAACCTTATTGGTGCAATGCCAGATTGAGTGACTTGGGCTCCCACCCCAGGAGAGCCTGATGCTCCTGAATTTAGCTTTATTTTTGCCTTCTTATTTCGAGGAAACTAAATAATGTTTTTGACTAAAATGTGTCTTATATCACCTAGAAAAGTTAGAGTTTAGATTCTAGAAATTATGAAAAGTGACTTGTCTAACAGGATAATAGTGTAGGCAATTTGAAGCAGCAAAGGCAAGAGAGCCTGGCCCCCCCCTTTTTTTTTGATAGGTTTAGGGGCCCCAAGCCATGTAGATCTCCCACCTAGCCTGGCTCACCCTGTTCTGTATCCCCACTGGCCTCTCAACTCTGCCCTGGCTCCCCGTAGCCCCTGCCCAGGCGTCTGGTTCTCCCCTACTGTGCTTTCCATCCCAGGCTGCTCTGAAAGGGAGTGGGGGCGGGGGTGATGGTGGGGAGGGCAGAAGTGGTGCCTACCCTTCATGGGGTGTGTCCGGAACATTTTCTCCACAGCATCTTTAACTCGTCCTTTGCTTGAATGATATTTTATAATGCTTATTTTATTGACTGGGGTTTTCTTTGTTGTATTAATAACTTTTGTTTGTAGGAAATTACTATTTTTTTAAGTGCTTTGTTTAGATTAAGTGGGGTTTACCTTTTGGAACTTTATACAGTGTGGAATCAGAAATGTCTGTTTCAAGTTAGCATCTACTAAGTATCCATGGGAAGACTTTTTTTTGGTAGGTTTAAGGGTTCCAAGTCATGCAACTTATGTAAACTGAACCTTGAACATAAATTAGCTGACCCCTATTTTGTATATGAATTCTCAGGTGATTTTGTCACCTACGTAGCAGCAAAGACAAACTGCCTCGTCTTTTCCATTTGCCAGTAGAATGAGATCTTCTGATTCATTCTGTCAGTAAGAACTCAGTTCTTGAAATCTTTTTGTGGATTGGCAGTAATTGGCATGGAGGATGGAATAAAGAATCTTAGTCATAGTTTTCTGCCTTGACTTCAGTAAAAATTCTCTTCTACTATGGGAGTTCTATGAAGCCACCAAGAGGTCACAGCTACAGAATACATTAAGCTGTTTTCAGAACCTAAGATGAATTAGAAATGCAGGTTAACAGAAATGAAGGTAGCGTTTAATTTGCACATAGCAGTTTATAGTATGTCATCTATAGAAACCTACAGCCTCCTCCTTGAGTAGGACCAGAAACAGTGCCTCCGGCCTCGTCCTTACCCATGCTGCCATCTGTTTCCTGCATCTCATCTGCGATATCTTATATCGCTCAAAGACTAGGTACACTGCTGTTTCAGCTTCCATGCCTTTCGACAATCTATATCCAGTATTAACTGAGTGATCCTTTCATTATGAAGGTTTAGTCTGCGCCTATTAAAATGTATAACCCTTCCAATGTGATCTTCAGTAAATTTGAGAATTCTCCAATCATCTTATTATTCTTGATGGGAAAGTTACTTTAAATAAAGAAGGAAGTAAACATCATAGAGTCATCAAATGTCATATAAAAACTGTTTAGCACTAAAGTTTTAAGATTTACTTTAAAACTTGTCCCATAAATACACAGGAACTTTGTAATAGACGTTAAACAGATATTTCTTCAGCTATATTTACAAGCATAGTTGATTGTCTGTACTGTCATTTTATAGGGACTGGCCATTGATATATTTGCTAAAATAGAAACCACCTTTTGTGTGACGACATGTTACTAGATACGTGCCTTTTTGTGTTTCAGGAGTTATACTTATGATGGGATGGTGTATGACCTGGTCACTTTTTGGACCCATCGTTCTTCCTGGTGGAAGTTTATTTGGATTCTTTGTTGTCTTTTATGGTGCCTTTATTGGGGGGAAACTTTTGGAACTGATTGCCATACCTGCAGTACCTCCGCTTCCGCCTCTTCTTGGTAAATGTATAATTAGTTCTTGTTCCTTTGCTTTAGACTCTATACAAATTATGTACATCTTTTTGTTAAGATATAATTTAGAAACAGTATAATATCTGTGAAGCTTTCTTAGATGTGACATACTACATATGTGTATATATAGCTCATCAGAGAAATATTCCCCTTACACAGATTTTTTTCTTCAACATTTTAAGATAATTTAAATATTTGATTCTTAGTTCTTTACCATTTAATAGGACATCTTCATTAAATTTCATTGCATTGTAAATAAGGAAAAACGAGGGAAAAGGCTGTATTTTTCTACTGCTAACCAGCTCAAATACAATTATAAGATTCAAATATTAATAATGATTAGGCACCAAAACACCCTATAGTTTGGGGTAAACTCTTTGTATATTCAAAGTTGCATCATCTGCTCAAGAAGGTTTATGTGCTATTTTTTCATTACCATTATTAAGTCATTCTCTGGACAGAGAACAATGAGTAGAACACTTGTCAAAGATGTATCATCGAAGTATTCAGTTCATACAAATACTCTCAGTAGGTATAATCTCCCCACCTTATCTCTACGCCCCCTTCAATGTTGACAGCATCCTCAACACTTTCTTATTCATTCAACCTTTTACTTCTTTTACAAAACATCTGCTCTTACCTTGTGGAAGTTACTTGTTTCCAGCTCCTCCTTGGACTTTGGCAGAGTCTTCTAACTCTCCTCCAGTTTCATGCCTGTGTAATTCACCAAAACGAAGAAAATGCAAGAGTCATCATATGCTATGGCCGGCCTAGAACTTCTCCAAGGTGCCTCATCTGTCTGAGAATGGGAGAGTGGAGAGGCAGTTTTCCATGATCTGCTCCTCCACCCATTCTCCACCACCACCCTTGCCCTTAAGTTTTCCGGGAACACAGAGTTTCTTGATGTACCCCATTTAGCCATGTCCTCTCTCACCTCTAGTCCTTCATGCTGCTCTTCCCCCAAAGTGTTGACACAGTGTGTTTGAAGAGGGAAAATTAAACATTTCTGAGTTTTCACTTGCAAAAAAAAAAATGAACCAAATCACATATGCTTTATTTCCTTTGTGTTAAGGGATGTTGCTGGCTGGTTTTACCATTAGGAATGCTCCATTCCTCAGCAAATTCGTCCTCATTAATAGTAAATGGTCTTCAGCATTAAGAAATACTGCCCTTACCATTATCCTGATACGAGCTGGACTTGGACTGGACCCAAAGGTGTGTTTCTAATTTATACCTTGGGTAAGACTATTTTAAATATTGAAGGCTGGTGGAAAAGAAGGGTAGACAGAATTTTGTTATAGATTCAAGTGGAATCATTAAGTGAAATTAAGATAAAGAATACAGGTCTTCCCTGGTGGCACAGTGGGTTAAAGCGCAGTACTGCAGGTGAGCCGCAGCTGCTTCAGTGTGAGTTCGATCCCTGGCCCAGAGGTGACCACATGGCGCGGCAGACCTCTCTGGACCCGCCTGCTGCTCCCCTCAGCAAGGTACTTCGTCAGTCTGCCTGTTCTGCTCCACACTCTGTCTCTGGTGAGGCCTCTCACCACCCCTGCACCTCTGGCCTGTACTCCAGTTCTGTATGCACAAATAAATAAGTCTTAAAAAAAAAACAAAAGATAAAAAATACAGATTTTGCAGAAAGGTTGGCACCTTGGTTTCTACTTTTGATATGAAAAGAAATCACTGTGAGGTTAAGATCATCTTTAATTATTTGCACAGATTCACAGCATCTGCACTCTCTGGCAGCTGTAGCTCTTCTATTGGTAACTATTTACTTTTCAGTTAACCAAGGGTATGGTCTCCCTGTAAAGAGCTTTTAGCTTTGTTTCAAAAAGATTAAAACTTCAGTAGTGTTTTTATTTCATTACTTCTCCCTGCAGAAGTGTGTTCCTGATTGTGCTTGAATTATTATAAAAACCAATCTTTTAAAATATTTCTTAAAATATTAGTATCTAGAAGATGTGGTACATATATACAATGGAATATTACTCAGCAACCAAAAAAGAGAAACACATGTCTTTTGCAGCAACTTGGATGGAGCTGGAAAAGATCATGCTCAGTGAGATAAGCCAGAAAGAGAAAGAAAAATACTGGATGGTTTCACTCATAACAGGAGTATAATGGACCAGGCGAGAAAATAACAAAAATAATGAACAACCATAGACCAGAGACATTCTGTGGGGGTGGAGTGGGGAATGGGATCAAAAACGGGGGGGTGGGAGGGATGGAAATGCACGGGACTATGGTGGTGGCACAGGGGTGATTTGGTGATGGGAAACCCGTGGGGATTACAATGGAGATGAAAAAAAAATGTGCAAAATGATGTAAAAATAAACTTAAAAAAAAAATTAGTATCTAGGAGTCATACATCTATTTGGGTTGTTAAAGGACGATGATTCAGCAATGTAACAGTTATGCAAACGGAAGTGGTAAATGTAGTGGGAATAGCTCAAGAGCATAAATAATTATAGAGAGTAAAATTTATTATCTCCAGTAGAGATTGAACCAATGAGAAAACTGAGCAGTTATCCCTTATAATTAATGTTTCAGTTTTAAGATAGTCTCTCACTGCATGTTGGTAATTTCTATTTCAAATTGTTAAGTTAATCAAACATTTTATCTCAGCCTTACGGAAATAAACCTGTGATTTACTTTCATTATACTATTCGCTAAGACAGACTAAGGTAGGTAGAAATAGTTATTTAAATATAGATAATGGATTTTTTAATACGTCTTATACATGTGCAATAGTTTATAATCCAATCTATGCTATATAAAATGAGCTATGGTTAGGTTTCAAGCCCAGTGGGACAATCTCGAAGAAGTAGATAGTAGCAAGAACTTACTACTCAAAAAAGACCAAGTGTCTCCATATTTCCTTAAATAATTTTCTATTTGACCATTGTAGGTTGTTCTCATGAGATTATCTTTGTGTTTCAGGCTTTGAGGGAAATGAAAGGCGTCTGCTTGCGATTGTCCATAGGCCCGTGCCTGATGGAGGCCTGTACAACCGCTGTCATTGCCCACTTCCTGATGAACTTCCCCTGGCAATGGGGGCTTCTGCTTGGGTAACTTTTTCTGATTTTCCCTATCCCTATACTCAGTTACGGATGCTTGGGTTAGAATAAGTGAAATATTCAGAATAGTGTATAGACAAGCTTCTCTTTACAGTGTTTTGTATGGTAGTAGGAAACCTTAAAAATCAGCTGGTCAGAAGCAGAGCTGTATTCTGAAGCCACCATATCCATGGAGAGTCCCTAAATGTTCAATGCTAAGGCAGCGCATCAGTTTATTCTTTCTCATATCCGTTGTACAGTAGCTCTATTTTGACCTGGTTAATGGCCTCTTCCTATGTATCTACTCTATGAGGTAGGTTTTGTACAGATACAGATGTGATAAAAACAAAAACAAGTTCCCTGTGTCATGGATCCCACCTGTATCTCTTGCTCATTTCCCTTCCTGTTCAGCTCCCTCAGAGTTAAGAGCTTCTAATCACCACTGTCTTGATATCTGAATTCCTTTTAATTTCCACTTCACTTAATTTTGTCACTATTCCACTGAACTTTTTAGAAAAGCTCACCCACTAGATACTGCTAAATCCATTGGGCTTTTAAAGTGTAATCTTTATTATAAAGTTAATATCCAAATGCATTTTATTTTTTGAAAAATTAGAACATAATAGATAAAGGTGAAAAGTTATTTTATAATGTCTTCATATCCTGGTACCGTATGCTCTGACCCAAAGAGAGAATCATTCTAGGCCTTTTAAGCAATATAAAGAAATTTATATATGATTTATATAATGTAGAACTATATTTACAATATAAAATTATTTATATAAAAGTATATACAGCCCTTTTTGTGGGTGTCCATGGAAGAAAAATTTGTGTATTTTCATATAAATCATATGAAAGAATGTTTTCACTTTTTTAACAGTATTTTTGAGATTCATGTTGAAAAATATAATTCATTTAATTGTTGCATAGTGTTACATTGTATAAGATCAGATTTTATTTATAATGTTTTATACAAATACAAGTTTTTCTAGAATAATTTTCATTTTGATGAACTTTCAAAATGGCTCCATCGCTCCAGTTTGCCCTGTAGCAACAGAATGTGAAAACTTATTCTTCCAAATCCTTATAAACCCTTGATAATATCAAACTTGTGTTTTTCCAATTAGGTGAATGAAAACATGGTATCTCTTTGTTACTTAAATTTATATTTCTGTGATGGTTAATGAGCTTGAGCTGCTTTTATAGATGTGTTGTTCTTTGGTGTTTATCTGTGATTGACCTGCTCATGCTTTGTCCTTTTTTCATTGCTTTCTTCCTCCAACTGAATGCATCAATCTTTATCTGTTACAGCATTGCAGTTACCTTGTTTTAGAGTACTGCAACTACCTGATACCATTAGATAGTTAACTTTGGCTATAGTGACTTTTAAATATAAACAGGACATTTTATTATTACAGAAGGCAGAAAAGCCAATACTTTGAACTGTCATTGAAAATCAGAGAAATAAAGGGGAGAAAGGGAAGCAGAATAGAGCTTTAATCAGTGTTTGTCTTTATTCCTTTCTAATATTGATCCAAAAGTCCTTTTATTTTTTCACTGATTTAAGTCTACAACATTGTATGGATTTAGGTATACAGTTTCTCACCTAAGCAACTGTATAGAACACACCACACTTGCCACCAAAGGCCAGTCACCGTCTGCTCCTCTACCTACCCCGTCCTCCCCCTGTTCCCTCCCTCCCCTCTGGTAACCGTCATTTTGCTGTTAGAGTCTAAGAGCCTATTCTTGTTTTGTTTAAACATTTGATTTGTTTCTTTATATTCCACAAATGAGTGAAGTCATGCAGTATTTGTCTTTATCCGCCCTCTGATTTAATTAACTTAGCATAATCTTTTCAGGATCTATCCATGTTGTCACAGTTGGCAAGATTTCATCCCTTTTCTGGCTAAGTTTATTACCATTGAGCATATATACCCACCTCTTCTTTGTCTACCTTTCTGTATTTTGAATAGTGTTGTAAGGAACATAGAAATGCATGTATCTTTTTAAATTAACATTTTCATATTCTTTGGGTAAATAACCAGAAGTGGGATTACTGGAAGAAATGGTACTTTATTTTTAAGTTTTTGAGGATCCTTCATACTGTTTTCTGTAGTAGCTGTACCCCTTTACCTTCCCACGGTGGTGTGTAAGTTTCCCTTTTCTCTGCATCCTCACCAGCTCTTACTAGTTCTTGACTGTTTGATAGTAGCTGTTCTAGCAGGGTGAGGTAAAATCACTATAATCCCACCTTGGATCTTCTGCCATTCGGTGACTTGCCTTTTTAATGATGATTTCTTTCTGTATAGATGCTGTTTTATTTGCTCATATTAACTTTTCCTTAGTTGTTGGAGAGGTATCCAAAAGACACCACTGTGGCCGATCTTAAAGAGCTTTTAGTTCATCTATTGATATGATCGTAGGGCTTTTATCTTTCATTGTGATAATTTTGATGCCCTTATTGATAGATTTCTATATGTTGAACAGTCTTTACAGTCCTGGAATAAATCCCATTTGATCGTGGTGTATGATCTTTTTAATATATTGTTGAATTCAATTTGCTGATGTTTTGCTAGGAATTCTCATCAATGTTCATCAGAGACATTTACCTGTAATTTTCCTTTTGTGTACTCTCATCAGCAGCATTATGCCTCACAGAGATAGAAAAGATATTTTCTATGCACACTCTACAGTTTTTTAGAAGTTTGAGAAAGATGAGTATTATGTTCTGAATATTTGGTAGAATTTACCAATGAAGCCAGCCAGTCCTTTTGTTTTTGGTGTGAGGTTTTTGCTTACTGTTTAAATTTCTTGTCATAGGTCTGTTAAGATTTTGTGTTTATTAATGACTCACTCTTGGAAAGTCATACCACTCCGGGAATCTGCATTTCCTCCAGCTTAGCCAGATATTTTGCACAGCTTTCTCTTGTGACCCTTTGTCCTGCTGTATCTATTGTGGTGTGTTCTCCTTCATTTATTGATTTGTCTTTTTTTCCTTAATGATCTAGCCAAAGTTTGTCAATTTTGTTGACTATTTTTCCAAAAACTAGCTCTTTATTTCATTGATTGGGGAAGGAGGAGCATGTTTTTACTTAATTTATTTCTGCTCTGATTTGTGTTATTTCCTTCTTTCTGATTACTTGGAGCTTCGTTGTTCTTCTTTTTCTAGTTCCTGTAGATGTAAAATTAGATTGTTTACTTGAAATTTAAAAGTCCTTTTTATCCCATGCTTGCAAATATATTTATGTATTTTTCTCTTACTACTTTTAAATTTAGTTTCTAAAAATCTTTAGAACAACCAGAATTTATTATGTGTGGGCTATTATGAATAAGTGTGTCAGCACCATTTATAGAAAAGTCCTTTCTTAGCCCCCAATATTTTAAAATGTCACCAATTTTATCATGGAAGAAATCCTATAGACTTGTTTGTACACTTTGTATTATATCTTCTTCCAATCTGTTTTTGTCTTTCTCTATCACTGTTACCTTTACGAACTGTCTTACCTTTACAAACACAGTGTCTTCTTTTTTGTGTTGACATGGTTTTTCATTTTAAGTTCTTATTCTTTTTTTTAAAGATTTTATTTATTTATGCACACAGAACTGGGGTACAAGCCAGAGACACAGGGGCGGCGAGAGGATTCACCAGAGACTGAGTGGGGAACAGTACAGGCAGATCGATGAAGTACATTGCTGAGGAGATCAGCAGGAAAAAGGAAAAGTCTGCTGTGCCATGTGGGTCACCTCCCTGGCCAGAGATCGAACTCATGCAGAAATGCCAGCAGCTAGTTTTGCAGTGCTGTGTTCCAACCTGTTGTTTCGCCAGGGAGGGCCCTTAAGTTCTTATTCTACCGGATGAACATTGGGAACAACTAGTGAATTTCTCCACTCTGAAGGGGATTTTAATCGGTACAGTATTAATTTTATAAATGAATTTGGACAAGAGTGACATCTTTATAATATTGGGACATTCTAAACACAAATGTGAAAGATATCTCCAGTTATTCAGCTGTTATCTTAAGTACAACGATGCATATAAAGATCCAGACTATTGTTAGAGTTTGGTGGGGGAATATTTTCTGGTTCTTGGTGAACTTGTAGATCGAATTTTTCCCAAAAATTCTAATTAGTTTTTGTATACATGTAAGAAAAATGCTGATTTTTTAAAATCACTTTTATTGAGGTATAATTTACAAACAGCAAAAAAAGTACCCAGGTTTAGTGAATATTTTAATAAGTTTTGACAAATTTACATACCTATGTAACTACAAGTCTAATTGAAATATAGAACACTGTTCATTACCCCACAGCCCCCTAATATTCCCCTGTGTGTCACCCTAATTAATTCCACACCTGCTCCCAGGCAACCCATAATCTACTTTCTGTCCCAACAGACTACATTTTTTTTCTTCAGGGTTTAAATAAATGTTATTGTTTAGTGTATACGCTTTCATTTCTGGCTTCTTTTGTCATTAGGCTGTTTGTGAAGTGCATCTATATTATGAGTAATAGTTCATTGTATTTTCTTGTGGAGTATTCCCTTTCTTCCTTTCTTATTTTTTTTTTTTGTTTTTTAATGATACACTTAATCAATTTGATGTGTTTCAGTAGTTACACTACCTTTTCTTATTAGTGAAAGCAGTTAGAAATAAAATTCAAGAAAATATTAAATGGCAAACAAATTTCCTTAAAAAGTCAGTCATATATATATATATATATATATATAAGAGAACAGGCAAGACTAGGTAAGAGGAGAAACAAGACTTTCATGAGTTTTATCCAACACTGAGTGAGGGCAAAGAGAAGAGAGCACTTTTTCATAAAAGAATATGCTGTCCTAGGCCTTCTCTGGTGGCACATGGGTTAAAGTACAGCACTGTGAAGCAGCTATTGCGCGTTCAATCCCTGCCCCGGAGGTGACCACATGGTGCTGCAGACCTCTCCTGTCCCACCGGCTGCTCCCCTCAGCAGTGTACTTCTTCGATCCGCCTGTCCACTCTGCCCACAGCTGCCCACAGCCCACAGCTGCCCACTCTGTCTCTGGTGAATCCTCTTACTGCCCCTGCACCTCTGGCCTGCACTCCAGTTCTGTATGCAGAAATGAATAAATCTTTAATAAAAGAAAGTGCTGTCCAGCAAGTCATTTTCCCTGCTCCTTCCTACCCTACAGGTGGGAAGCAGATGTTCCAGACTGGATCTGGCCCCCATAGAGCAAAGGCTGGCCAGGAGTTGATGAGTTTTTAAAAATGACTAAATAAAAATAATTTACTTCTATTATTTGGTTGAGTGTATTATCTTTGCCAGTTATATGTACTTAGCTTTCTGGACAAAGATATTTTCTTCTATTCAAATGATGCCTTTTTTTTTTTTATCATTTTACAGAAGGGTTTTAATTGATGCTGTCTCAGTTGTTTAGATTCTCTTTTGTTTTCATTGCCTTGGTGATGACTCCACAAAGACATCACTGAAGTTTGTGTGGTGGAGTGTTTTGCCTGTACTTTCTGTGCATGTCATGATTTCAGTTCTCACATCCAGTGTAGTGTCCATTTTGAGTAGAGTTTTGTGTAAGGTGTCAGTCAGTGAATAGATATTTCTCCATAGAAAGTCTGCAGCTGACCACAGCATAGGGAAGTGCTCAGCATCTACAGATCGCTAGGGAGCTGTCAAGGACTTGGCAAGGAGCAAAGTGTAGTTTCTTTTGTACAGGATAAACTTCATTTGTACAGGATATACCTTGTAGACATTTGTCAGGACATGTGCGCACCGGCAGTGCTCCTGAGTCGTACACTTACAATAGTCAAGAGGGCAAGTCTACCCTGATGGGATCAGGATGTCTGAATGGGATTCAGGTATTTTTAAAGGTCTCCAGTGCTGCAGGCAGCCTGTGAGATCACTCCCATGACCCCTGCTTTCTGACACTTAGGCCTTTGTGTCATCCACTCTTCTTGAATTGGGCTGGAGCTATGAGAACACAGCAGAAGTGAAGGGATGGCCAAGCTAGGATTGGTTTATCAGAAGACCGTGGCTTCTCTCTTCCGTGGTATTCTGCTGGATTGCTGCCCCGGGGTGGGGGTCAGTGACCACATTGTCAGTAGTCCAGTGGAGAGACCCTGGCGGCGAGAGATGGAGAACTTGCCAGCAGCCGTGCGAGCCAACCTGGAGGCAGACCTTCCCCACCGCCTCGTGGGAGACCTTGTGTCAGAGCATAGAGGCAAGCTGCGCATGGACTGCTGCCCCACAGAAACTGTGCGGCGTAAGTGGTTTGTTTTAAGCTGCTAAATTTGGGGTAGATTAGACTGATGAGCAGAAACAGTTAAGTAATAAAGCAGATGAAAAAAATAAATCAGGTGATCATCAAGTGCAGTAAAGTTCAGGTGCCACTGAACTAGACGAGTACATGTTTTCATATTTCTAGGCTCTTCTTGAGCCCATGGGGAATTCTTGAGCAGTATCTGCATGGCAGAGATTGTGCAGCCAAGAAAGAAGTGCTGACGCTCACGTCAGTTACTGCAGAAGCTGTGTGAGCGGGTGGAGGGGAGACCGCCCTCACCTCCACTCTTAGCAGGTGTCTGTGATCAGCACCACTGTGTGGTGACCTGGGGTGCGGGGCCTGGGGGCCCCAGGAGCAACTCACCCCCTTCTGACGTTACTGTGGAGAGCGATGTAGCTGACAGCAGGTTCCTTTAGAAGGGACTGTAGCGGCTTCCTCTCCCCTGGGTGTCACCCGCCAGCCCTGCTGCGACAGGGCCCACGTGTGTGTCCTTTCTCGGCAGGCGGTGCAGTTCCCGACTGATCCGCCCCTCAGGCAGGAACAGCGCAGGGGGTGTCTGCACATTCTCTCGGTTCTCCATATAGCCACTGCATGGTGCCCTCGGCCGCCCTCCCGGCCTCTGTCATTCAGGGCTCGAGCCCTTCCAGACGGAATGAGCATCTCCTGAGTACACCCTCCGCCCCCTCATCCTCCCGGACCTGTCTGCACCTGCCCTGGAGTGCAGCGGGCTTCTTGTCTTCTCGTTAGTTTTTGGACTTTCCTATTATTTTTACTTTTTTGTTTCAGTGGGCTCAGGATGCTGGGAGAGGCCGCGAGTGGAGCTCAGCCCCATATGGTGGATGCAGTCTCTAAACTTTTAGCCAACCCTGAAGAATATGTGAGGCATTTTATAGCCTTTGTATGACTCACTCAAAAGCAGATTGTCTACACTGAAATTATTGTAAAGGCTAATGTATTGCTGTAACACTTACTATAGAATGCTGTTTGGTTAAGATGATGTTTTAAAATTGGTTTTCAGAGTCTTTCTTTCAGTTTTGTAGTAGGTGCGGTCTCTCCTGCTATTGTTGTTCCTTCCATGCTACTCTTGCAAGAAAGAGGATATGGTATTAAGAAAGGCATTCCAACCGTACTGATAGCCGCTAGCAGTGTGGACGACATCGTGGCTATCACTGGATTCAATACATGCTACAGCATAGTGTTCTCCTCAGGTAAACGGAAGGGCTTGGGCAGCGCGCTGGCTCTGCTGCTCTGACTAACCACGACTCTCCCACGTAGCCCCTCCTCACGCTCTGTGTAAGGCTCGCTCTAGACCGGGGAGAATTGCACTGGAAACCACCCCTGACACGAGTAATCTCATGGGAACACCCCACGTTGCAGGAGATTTAAAACCCATTCCTGACTTTTCATCTGTTCACACTACTTTGAAATGTTATCATATTCTCAAAAGAAAATTTTAAGCAGTACTGTTACTACCACTACTGATGATGTCTCACAGGTATTTTGGAAGTGTGCATTTTTGACTCCTTACAAAAGGTTGTTTCTTAGTAAGACGGCTGACTAGAGAGCTGTCCTCTCCCAGCATGGGTGGGACCACGTCCGGCACCAGATGGGAGTCCCCAGGTGATGTTTGGGCTGTGCTAGGCTTTGAGGTGGAATGGACACGTGGCACTCCGTGTTGACAGTTCCAGTGTGCAACTTAATGATTCAGCATTTGTACAACTGCGAGTCTAGTTGCCTCTGCCACCAGCAAGAAAATTTTGAGAACTTTTAGCTTAACAACTTTCAGATATGCAAAACAGCATCACTAATTAGTCACCTTGCTGTACACTATATCCCTTATTTATGACTGGAAGTTGCCCTCGACCGCATTCGTCCTTAGCCTGTCCCCGGTGCCCTCCCTCCAGCAGCCACCAGTCTCGTGTTCTCCATGTCCACGAGCTAGATTTTGTTTTGTTTGCTCCTTTGTTTTGGTTTAGAATCCACATAAAATTGACACACAGAATTTGTCTTTCTCTGTCAGACTTACTTCATTTAGCATAATACACACAAGATCTATAGGTAGTGTTGCAAATGTGAAGGTTTTGTTGCTTTTCATTACTAAATAGTGATCCAGTGGTGTGTGTGTGTGTGTGTGTGTGTGTGTGTGTGTACACACGAATGCATCTGACTTTTCCAATTAGTGTTTCCATCTTCTTTGGAATTTGATGTTTGGTCTGGGTGTCACTGTGCACGTGCAGTGAAGTATACATGCTTTCACTGTCTACAGTGTTCGAAGGTCGGTATTCTGTTGTTGAAGCATCAAAACATTTTAAATTGAAAAGTAATATATGTAGTTTCTCTTAAAATCATATACATGAGTAAGGAAACCAGGGACAAGATAGAAATAAGATCTGCAGTGGTCATCCGCCCAAGAATAACTTTGAATCTTTTGATGCAAATCTACCTAGAGGATGACTTCTCCTTCCTCCTCCTTCTCCTCCCCTGTCCCTCCTGCCTTATACAGTCACTGGTCATCCTTTTCTAGCCTGTTTTTTGCACTTAACTATGTATCACAAACATGTTTCTTTTCAGTACACACATTTCTATGTCATATTTAATGGCTGGATAGTATTGCGCTGGCTGCATTAGAATTACTCGATCTGTTGAAACTTGAAGTTGACTCCATAATGTTTTGAATTATTTATCAGGTAGTTCATATAGCTTCATTTTTTATGATCAGTTTCTGGTGATCCGTTTTGTTCCTTGGATTAGTCTGTGCTCCCTTATTTTTTCATGTCTTGCTTTTGTTTTTTGGGATTTGGTGGCATTTAAAAACTATCACTGGGCCCTCCCTGGTGGCGTAGCAGGTTAAAGCACAGCACTAAGAAGCTTAAGCCAATTCAACATGAGTTCGATCCCCGCCTGCCCCGGAGGAGATCCACATGGCGCGGCAGACCTCTCCTGACCCGCCCGCTGCTCCCCTCAGCAGTGTACTTCCTCCATCTGCCTGTTCTGCTCCCCACTCTGTTCCTGGTGAATCCTCTCACCCTCCGCATCTCTGGCCTGTACCCCAGTTCTGTATGAATAAATAAATCTTTAAAAAAAAAAAACTATCACTTTTTTCAGCCTTACAAGCTAGTATCATAGAGGAGAAAACCTCCACCAGAAAGCGTGGCTTGATAGTTAGGCAGGCCTTCCGACTCCTCTGGGCATGGCATGTCATTCCCCATTTCTGGAGCTACGGCTGTTGCCTGCAGTGCTGAGGTGGTCTGGTGCTCAGCCGCCACGCTCTTCTCTGGCTCATCAGCCCACAGGCACCCGCACCAGCCAGTTCTCAGCCAAGTAGACAAGCCAGCCTCTGGACAGCTCAGCTGTTAGACTTTCTCCAGCCTGCTTTCCCTCCTGAGGGAGCATCATCAGAAGTTGGGCATTTTCTCTTCACCATCCCCAGCCATGGTGGCTTGGGGAAGGGCCATCGCTGCATTAACATGGCTGCTTTTCTGGTCTCAGTACCACCCCATTCTTGGTGTTGAGCTTGCTCTTGGTACTGAAACTTCTAGATTGCTGTGTGGAGCTTGCTAAGAATTCTTGAACTGTATTGTGTATGTTACGCAGGTGTTTTCTGTGGGGCGCTAGTGTTCTAGGTCTTCCCATTCCATCAGCTTGCTGTTGTGATGCTCCATTTCTAGTAATTTTCATGGAAAATGATTTCTAATAATATACACACACACACACACACATACATACATATATATATATATGCTACAACCTTTACTGAGCTAAATATGTAGGAATAACTAAACTTTTTTGTAACTCAGGATCATTTTATTCAATATTTCACAGTAAAATAGATAGGGATACATAAACATATGTATATATACTCAAAAGTTGACTCTTGAGTATTCCTTGGATTGACCCTGGAATGAATCCTTTTGTTGTCACTAAGAATTTCTTATGTTTAAGTTACTTTTTCTTTGTCATAATAGTACCTCAGAAGAGACACTACCAACCACGTGTGAGGTGCCAGGGGTGTCCTTTATCACTCTCTGCCCTCTTCTTCCCCACCTGGTCTTTCAGGTTGGTGTTTTGGGGGAGCGCAGAGGGACCAGCTACGTTTTGTGGCCTACTTATTCCATAATCGTTTCTGACTTGTGTGTAGAGATCAAGTTATCAGAAAGTACATATTTAGCAACTAGATCTGCATATATTTTCCCATTTATCTCCCATATAGCAATACTTAAGGTCCATATTTGTACATTCTGTAAAATCCTTAACCTTTCTTTATGAGCCACCTAGCTCTGATTTTCTGATGTTTAGGGTGTGTGAAAGTACTTTGTTGTGAAATGTTTCCCTCACTTTGTGTGTACCCTGACAGGTGGTGTGCTTCGTAATCTCTTACTCTCTCTTCGGGACATACTTATTGGTGTGCTGATAGGAGCTGTTATGGGAATTTTTCTGCGATATTTTCCAAGTAGACATCAGGTAAATTTAAAAAATACCGATTTTAAAGAAATATAGTATTTGACATTTCTTGCAGAAACTTGAACTTTTAGAAGGCCCTTGAAACACTAACTTGAATATTTAATTCTCTTTGCCCCAGAGCCGCCACCAGGCCTGCCCTCCTTACACTGAGCAGGCTGTGGTTGGTGAAGCCGGCTCTTGAGCGCAGTCCCTGCCCACTGAGTTGAATAAGAAGGCAAATCAGCAGACGTTGCTAACCTCAGAGGGGCCTCCCCACCCCACTTTCCCTCCTGCACTAGACTGTGATGAGGGGCGCCGATGGGACTCATCCAGTCAGGAAAGACTTTCCTAATCTTTTCTCTTCCAGCTTCACTTTGAACATTTGAGAAGGGAAAGACTTGCCTCTATTTCTCATCTATCCTCACGTAAATTGATCCCCTCTCTCTTTGATTTTTCAACACGATGAACTGCACTCTTCCCTGCCCTAGACTGTACCATCACTTTCCTATTTCTGTAATTCCATCTTTATTTCCCTGCAACTGTATCTCGGCTAAGGAGAGATATATTATTTGGAAAGATATATTTTTGAATGTCTTGTATGGAACTGCAGGTTGTATGGGTCTCTTTCCTTCCTTCTTCACCTATGAATAAAGTGTCTGTTTTACCGCAGAGGTATGGCAGGAGATGAAAGTCATTGATTCCAAATATTGTCACTTGGCACCCAGTCTGCTAATTACTTGGTGAGGAAAAACATCAAAATTTTAGTCATTATATAATATGAGCTATAGACACAGAACCAGTGTGTTAGTAGGGATGGCCAGTCATACAAATCTGAGTGTTTGTAATGTAAATTAACATCTTGAGTTTCTGTGTATTTCTAGACAGACCTTGCAGTGAAGAGAGCCTTCCTGGTGCTAAGCATGTGTGTTTCTGCCGTCCTGGGCAGCCATCGCACCGGCCTGCATGCCGCTGGGGGGCTCTGCACCCTGATGCTGACCTTCTCTTCGGGGGTCAGCTGGTCCAAGGAAAAGGTGACTTATTGGTTGTTTTTTTTAAAGATTTATTTATTTATGTATACAAGAACTGGGGTACAAGTCAGAGGTGTGGGGAGTTAAGAAGACTCCCCAGAGACAGAATGGGGAGTGGAACAGGAGGATTGACTGAAATCCACTGCTGAGGGGAGCAGCGGGGACACAGGAGAAGCCTGGCCGGGAATCGAACTCATGCTGCAGTGGCTGTTACAGCTTCAGAGTGCTGCGCTTTAACCCCTTGTGCCACCAGAGAGGGCCCAAAGGTGTACTTATTTGTAACACGTCACCCTTTAAAAAGGTGCACTGCATTTTTCAATATCTGAAACGGACATTTAGAAAATCACCTTGTTTTAGTGGAAAGACAGTCCAGAAGTTTGTGTTTTCAAGAGTGTGTGAATCAATACAGAAAATAAAATAGTTAGTAAAAGAACCTGCAAATACACTAAAATGCAGTCAGAAGTTGAATTATCACATCAAGCCCCTTTGTTTTCACACATTATAACATCTAGATCATTTCCACTTTTGGTGATTACAAACAGTGGTGCCATGAACAGTTCTGCTCATGTCTTTTTTAAATATCTAAGTACCTCTATGTTAACAAACTCTTAGCAATGGGATTGCTAGGTTTAGAAATGGTACCTTTATATTTTGATGTGTATTGCCAATTACGCCTTCAAAGGATATTTTTTAATTTACCCTGCTACTAGCAGTAGAGGAGAGACCCTAATCCCTCAACTCATTAGAAGTGCTGGGTATTATCAATAGTTACAGTTTTTGCCATCTGATGGGTAAAAAACTATATTACCTTATTTTTTACTTAATTTCTTTGATGTAGAGAGTATAGTTGTATGAATGTATTCTTTAACTGCCAATCATATTCTTAGCCCATTTTTAGTTTATCTGCTTTTTATTCTTAATCTGTAGTGTTTCTGTCAGAGTTGCTCATCTTCTACTGTGTGTATAATGCATATAATTTTTTGCTTATCTTCAACTTTATGACATCTTTTGCATGGGAGTTAAATTTCCCTATAGTCAGGCCTTCTTCAGTTTGTCTTTTTTGGTTTTGGGTTCTGTATGTTGTTTAAGAAGGATTTCTTCACCAATAACGATGATCAAGTTATAAACATTATACCACTTTATATGCATCTCATACATGGTAGTGTTTGTTTGTCTTGCATTGCACTGTTAGATTAATCTGGAATTCCTGTCAGAGTGCTGTGGTTTAAGGTTCTCATGTCCTTGTGTGTTGTGTAAGGCATGAGCAATCACAGACCTGCGTCTTCATGCTAGACAGCTCCCCTGGCGCACTTCGATTGTACACATTGGCTAATCATTTTTGCCAAGTTACTAAAATTTGGCATTTTTCAATACCTCTTTTAACATGAACTAAATTCATGCATATATGTTAATTTGCTTCTGGGATCTGTTTAATCCTACTTGTCTTTTATGCAGTACCACTCTAATTTTAAGTCAATGTAGTTTTGTTTTAAATCTACTATAGAAGATATTCTTTTTCTTTATAATTATTCGTTGTCTGTCCTACCCCTATTCTTTCTTAGAATCATCTTGAGACATTTCCCTACTCAAGAGTCATACTGACATTTTGTTTAGTTTACAGTAAAATCATAATCACAAAGCAGGATAATGTGCTTTTTCCCTTTCTAAACTACTTTTATAAATGGCAATCAGAAAACTCAGGTATAGGGAAATAGTTATGTAGCTAGTTTATGCCTTCAGTTGAAGGGTGTCAGCTTTTAGATCTAGTCTTCTGTAAAAATGACAACCCCACACAAAGACTAAAATGGCTTCATGCAAGTCCTGGAGACAAGCCCCACCTAAGTGGGAAGCAGCACTGGGAGGGCTTGTTCCCAGGTAGTGAAGCCGGTGGGCAGTACCCACGCAGAGCAGTCTGTTACAATCTATTATACATTTTGGTTTGATTTTTAAGAAAAAAGCCACTTTGAAGTTTCAACGTGGGTCCGTTGGAAGCAGGCCAAACAGACCCTGCAGAATGTTTTTCCTCGTAACTTGGAATACGTCAGGACTCTTTTATGAAGATACCGTTAGTGGGGTCACCCCAGCTCCCTCTTGAGAGGTAACAGGCCTGCATGGTCTTGAGCGTGTTTTCTTTGGGTGTGCGGTGCAGCTCTGGCTCTCTGAGCCACCTCGCAGCCAAAGCTGGGGCTCTTGCTGACCCACAGCACACGTCTGGAGCGCCAAAGACCTTACAGTTTACTTTATTATTTGGCAAAATTGCCAACTAATATTTTTATTTTACAACTTTGTGATTTCTTTTAATCAAATTCTGCTTTGGCGTTTGAGTAAAAGAATTAACCTTTACTAATTTTTATTGTTTTAAATGCTTTTCTCTAAGTAAAGTTGTTTCTTAAATTTTAAGTAAGACCTTAAATTTCTGAAATAGTTATTTTTATGTGCTACAGTAACTAAAATGTATTTCTTTGCCTACAGGTTAAAGTCCAAACCATTATAGCAAAAACATGGAATGTTTTTCAGCCCCTTCTCTTTGGTTTGGTTGGTTGGGAAGTATCTGTTGCATCTCTTAGAAGTAATGCTATTGGTAAGAATGATGAGAGGCATCAAACATGATTTTGAAATATTTAAGAAAGCTATATATCATTTTCTAAATGTCTGTCTGTGAGCGTGTCAGAGTCTCTTGGGCCACGCATGCCGACACGCTCACACGTACTCCCACACTTGCCCACGGCCGCCCTGGTGGCTCCCCATGGCCTCAGGGAATGGACATTGATCCTCTCCCGAGGGGCGACAGTAGGTGCCCCCAGCACCCATGGAATGCTGTGCAAGCCCCCCGGAGCTGAATGCGCGGGATCCGCTATGTTCCTCATATTGCCGCCACTGCCCGGTGTGCGCATGCTCTTGGCGCCTGTCACTTCTAGCCGTTACGATTAGTGTAGTTACTTGGACAGCAGAGGCGCCACGAGGCACTCGCCTTAAAATGCCTTCAGTACCGCTACAGGTGCTCTGAGTGCGAACACCCAGCACCTTGCTGACCGCGCTTGCTTCTCTGTTGCAGGCATTTGTGCCGCTTCCATAACCCTGGCGTTGTTGGTTCGAATCTCTTTCACATTTGCAATTTCGTCTTTTGCTGGTTTTAATTTTAAGGAGAAAATATTTATTGCGTTAGCATGGGTACCTAAAGCTACTGTCCAGGTAAGAATATATCGCCATTCTAATAATTGTAGGTTGATGATTTTTTCAGTGGAAACTTTTAACTGCAGTCACAAACTGAAGGCTGTTAGCCATTTCCTTGTAGCTTGCTGGCTCAAGGTAGGAGGTAAAAAAATAATTGATTATAACTACTCATTATAATTAACAATCATTATATATTTTAAACTGAAAAATGTACTTTTATTTATATTTCTGTTAAATTCATTTACTTATTTCCTTACATCATTGTTCATTTTGGACACCCCCAGGGGCTGCCCAGTGGTTCTCCCCCACCCCACCCCATGATCCATCCCCACCTCCCTGGGCTACTCCAGCCCCTGTCCTGGTCCCTGTTCCTCGGCCTTCCCCGCCTTCCCCTTCCCTGCAGTAGGCCTCAGGTCTGCGGTCGGTTGCAAGTTTTGTCTTTTTCTGACCCTTTGCCTGGTCTCTGTATTAGCATACAGAGTATGTAAGGGAAACCTCCAGTGTTTACCTTTCCCTTCTGACTTATTTCACTTAGCATGATCCCTTCCAGCTCCATTGTGAAAATTGGCATGAGTTAATCATTTTTGATCACTGAGTTGAAAAATTTACTGTTGATGACAAATACGAGATTGATGAAAAAAATTTTATCTTCCTAAAATACAGGTAAAGTATATGAGGGGCTTCCCTGGTGGCCTAAGGGTTGTCTCAGCACATCACCGAGTTGACCTGAATTCAGTTCAGCCAGAGAGTGACCCACATGGCACAGCAGACCTCTCCTGTCTCCCACTGCTCCCCTGAGCAGTGAATTTCAGTAGCTCTACCTGTTCTGCTCCCCACTCTGTCTCTGATGAATCCTCTTCCCCCCACCCCCAACCTGGTCTATAGAACTGGTCTATACTCCAGTTCTACTACATGCAAAAAATAAGTAAAGTATATATGAATACTGTAATTTTTTACATTTTGCTGAATATTACAGAACTAAATGTTATGATGTTACAGTAGAGGCATTGATTTCTTTTTAAAGTGTATGTTCCCTCTTCCCTTTACCTGCCCCACAAACATGAATGCACGTTATTTTACATTACGCATTTCATTTGTGTATTTGAATCTCACCACTAAACTCGAAATCAGTGTCTGATTTTTCCCCCTAGTACTTAAGACAGTGTCTGGCACGCAGGAGGTGCTTACAATAAGTATTTGGGTAATGTTTACAGTTACTAAGCCTACAAGAATGAACAAATGATGGATGAATGAATGAATGAGGGACCTTCTAGTTATTCTCGTATGAAAGGTTTTGCTACTTATGTCTAGAGACTTTAACCTGACAGTGTAATGGCTTAATTTCTTGAGATTCTTTTTCCATTGTTATTCCAAAACAGAAAAACTTGTGCATTTCCATGTGACAAAATCTTCAATGTTATGGCTAGAAGGGTCCAAGGGGCCAGGTGCCTGTTTTAAATACTTTCTTGCCTGTAACCCTCACACTTGCTCAGCACTGCGCTGTCCTTGTACAGTGAGCTGTATGGTTCTGTCTGTCACAGGCATTGGAGGATTAGAGGAACTCACCCTCATGAAGTGCTGGATGTAGGCTGTCGCAGATGGCAGGGCTCATTGAACAGTTTCACTGCTGTTTGCCTCAGTTAATATGTCATGATTTATTTTTAATCCCTGCCATAGTAAATAATCTGTAAAAGAAGTGTTTATCTCTCTTGTCTCTCTTTCCAACACTTCACATGTGATTTTGTTTGATTATCTCTTAATTTCCATAAAGTAGGGGAAAAGAAAAGGAGGCTTGAGGCAGGAGCCTACCCTCTGGCCCTGCACCTGGTCTGCTTCTGTGCCTGCTTGTTAGCCCAGGCTTCCTCTGCGCCATTAGTAGAAGCTCATTCTAGGCTCTGGCAATACAGAAAACTCATTTCTTGTACAAATTGAGTCATGACCACAACAAATGATGATGATGTCACAAATGTTCAGATTCAACAATTATCTTTACATTTCAAGAGTCAATCTGCATCCCCTTCTTTCTCTCTCTGCTACTGATACAGAATTGGCTACATTTTAGTTCTTTCCTTTGTGTAGAATACTGGTAAAAACTAGAGCAGAAGAGGGATGACAGTAAGAGAAAGAATGTAGTTCATAAATGTAAGATCAGTTTACTAACTGGGTTCTTCTCAAGAAACGGTAATAATTCTCAGTTACTAGATAGAAACCACTTACTATCTAGCAGGAGTCCCCACGTCACACAGGGCTGCCACGTGGACGACACGAGTCAGTGCTGTCAAACTTTAAGAACAGGACCTGCCACGTGGCAGACCCTGTGGGACGCTGAGTGTCGCTCCTGTGAGTGCCGCCATTATCACTGTCATCTGTTAAAACTTAGTGGGTTTTTGGCAGCTCTTTGGTGCTCAAATCTTGTAAAACATAAGTTGGTTTTTGTCTGAATTATCTTTTTCTTCTCAGCATCCAGCTCCTTGTATTCTATTAACAAAAAATTATATAAAAGTATACAACTTTTTTTTAAAGATTTACTACTTTTGCCTACAGAACTGGGGTACAGGCCAGAAGTGTGGGGATGGGGTGAGAGGACTCACCAAAGACAGAGTGGGGAGCAAAACAGGTGGATCTACTCAAATACACTGCTGAGGGGAGTAGTAGGTGGGTCTGGAGAGGTCTGCTGTGCCCTGTGGGTCATTCCTGGCCGTGGTTCGAACTCATGCTGTGGTGGAGGCAGACAGCTTTATAGTGCTGCGCTTTAACCTCTTGAGCCACCAGGCAGCGCCTAAAACTGTACAATTCTTGGTCATTAATTTTAAATTTGGAACCTGATCATAAATTGGGGCGTTCTTTGGCAATAATGTCACATGGGAGAGGGAATATTTCTATCATGCTGTTATTGTGCAACTTCTCAGAAGATTTATTATATATTTGTAGTTAACCTCTGAACAATTTAAGGTAATTTCACACTTAGGTTAATAAATAGAAGTAAAGGATTAGCAAGATACTTTGTTATTAAAAGTAAATCTGCTAAAAGGTGCCTGCGGGATTCTGTGGCCCAGCAGGGTTACTCTGAAAGAGAATTCAAAGGAATTCCTTCCTACTGGCAGGGGTAGAAGGGAGAGTGGGGAGAGAAGCTTACCAGCATGTAAGTGCCTGCTGCTCTCCCATTCACACATTTAGTCATCATTCCAACCCCTTGACGGGATGGTATTACTGTGTTGTTCACTTTGAAGTGAGGAGGAGCTTGGACAGCTTGAGTCACTTGTAAAGATCACTTACCTGGTTGCACAAAACCAGAATTGAAACCCAGTTTGCCAGACTCCCAGATTTCTTGCCAGTTTAACTATGCTATTCTACCTTCCATGTAGGGAAAGAGTAACGCTCGCAACTAGTATGTGTGCTGTCTTGTGGCAGCCCAGACCCTGGAGGCTCACGGTAAAGGCTGACTGCAGAGCCCCGCTCCCCTAGATTCCTGAGGTTCAGGGAGAACAGACACTCAGAGCAGGTCTCAATGGGTCGGCTGAGATGAGAGACGCCAGCCAGCCTGTGTGACACTCTGACTCATCCCTGTCCCTTCCTCCAGATACGTGGCTAGGAAGAGGTCAGAATTGAGAGATACGCAAGAATTCCTCAGCGCCTTGTCTCCTCTCTTATGGTAGTCTAACCCTGGGTCTGTTGGACAGGGCCATTTACGTTAGTCAGTGCTAACTCTGTGGACATTTCCCTCAATGACGTCTTTACCCCACATGCAGGCTGTGTTGGGCCCTCTCGCTCTAGAGACGGCGAGAGCCAGCGCGCCCAACTTGGAGCTGTACTCGCAGCATGTGATGACAGTCGCCTTCCTCGCTATCCTGATCACGGCTCCCAACGGGGCTCTGTTCATCGGCATCCTGGGCCCCAAGCTGCTCACGCACCACGATCCGAGCCTTGTCAAGACTGACTGGTCAGGGTCCACCTTTCATTGAAAAGGTCATTTGCAGGCACTGCCTGTTTCTTTTAATGGATTCTCTTACATGAGAGAAAACTTAAAAGCCACAAATATGTGAAACCTGTATATAGAACCAAGATTTAATAAATGTGTGATTTCACTAGAGAGCTAGCCTATGATTTTTGACTCCGAAGTTAATAACTGTGTAGAATGCTCTTTTAGTATTACATATTTCAGGAACAGAAAGTCATCTGTCAGGCTGAACCTGTGTCATACTACAAGCTAAGCAGAATGGAAGGTGAAATGAAGCAGGTGCCAGGAAGGTAAGTGCTCGCTAAGTCCCCATCCCTTTCGTAATTCAGTGAAAAAAATCACAAGAAAAAGAAAAGACCAGGGCCAGCAATGGAACATTTTAATTCTGGTTTTAGAGGCTAGCTGAGTGAATGAAATGCAAAGTGAGAGAACCAAAGTTAAACCTCCACTGCCGTACCCTTAAAATGACAATCTGGCTTAGTGCCTGCCCTTTAAATGTAACCCTACCTGTGGTGCTGATTTATAAGTGGGAATCTCGAGGGCCTGCCTGTCACACATTTTAAGCTTTTGTTCCCTCTCCTGCAGTCAGTTGTCACACTTTATTGTGTACCTGTTTCTGCAGGACCCTTTCAACGCATGCAACGTGTGCAGCAGCAGCAGCAATCAGATGGCCAAACTTGTTAGAATCAGGTGGGACTTGAGGATGCTTAGCCCCACAGAGGGACACTGGCACAGCTGCTCAGACAGGCTGGGGAGCGCTGGTGACTTACCTGCTGGTCTCCTCCAGCGTGGCGGTGTCAGATCTGGATCCTGCAGGGCGCAGTGTAGTGAGTTAGAGGTCTCCGGTAAGTCGAAAATGAGATGCCCACCATAATCTAAGAGCCCTGATAAAACAGGAGAGACTTAAACCTCTGTGGGGAGAAGAGACTGGGATCTCAGGAAGGTTGAGCAGAGATCAACAGTTGGCTTAATTAGCTTCCTATAAATTCATTAACAAAGTAGGTTACAAAACACAAGTAGTTTAATGAGTCATCAGATGAGGCACCAAACTCAAAGCTGAATTGTAATGTGCTTTTCATAATACAACTTGCTTAGCTGCCCGCCTGAGTGAATCATTAATACCTCGAGCCTGCTCATCAGTTTGATGCCTCGTTCTGTAATATCTTGCTGAGTGAGACAGTGACTAGTTTACCAAGAAAGGGGAACCAATTCTGCAGTCACGAGACATGGAAACACCAGGGCTATTTCCAGACGTTTCTAGAAAGCCAAAATATGTCTTTCAAGAGCTAACAAATCAATACAGATGCAGTTATGTTAGGTGAACATGGTAGAATTTTGAGAATTTGCACAGGGAAATGACGGCAACTGATACTGCTCCTCGTGGAAGAAGTTATAAATTTGCTACCAGCTCTAGACTGCTGAAAAGGCTACAAAAGTGGGAAAATATTTGTGCACAGCTGTTTGACATATTTTAACAATTGAAAATGCAGGGTAAAAAAAACTTTGAATGCTTAACCTTTACTTTTGGGGTATGTGTAATTTTTTAAAAAGATTTACTTATGCATACAGAACTGGGGTTCAGGCCACAGGTGTGGGGTGGTGAGAGGATTCACCAGAGACAGTGGGGAACAGAACAGGACGACCGACAAGTACACTGCTGAAGGGAGCAGCGGGCAGGTCAAGAGAAGTCTGCCATGCCCTGTGGTCACCTCTGGGGCGGGCGGGGTTCGAACTCATGCTGAAGTGGCTTTAGCTTCTTAGTGCTGTGCTTCAACCTGCTGTGCCACCAGGGAAGGCCCAGGGTATGTATAATTTTTACCTTTCATAAGTTTTCAGTTTTGACGGTGTTCTCACTTGACAAAATTTAAAGTATAATTTCATTTTAGTCTCTATGTTTGAAGGGGAAATTTTCCTTTCTCTTGTGTAACTTCAGAATGGGAATCACTAACACATGATTAAAAACATGTTGCAGTGAGCTGCAGTCAGGGATTTAAAAAGTATTTCCTGACTACAGAACGGATAGCCACGTTTGGTGAAGAGGATTTTTCCCGAAGTCTTGAGATCAACCATAGAAACATAAGTGGTTCTCCTGACAGGGAAGTCCTTTAAGGGCGTTGAGGAAAAGACCTTAGGACAAAAAACACCCAGAAGCAAAGCCAGAGCAACACACGTCTGGCTACTCATGGATGAGAAGAGGCAACAATTTTGGACGTGAACCTTGCAAAACTTCACAAAGAAACCACAAGTATGTTTCAAATCCTAACTTTAAAATTGCTACTCTTGGCCACAGGAGAGTCAGGCTCACATGGCAGCAGCTCTCCACATCTCACATAACCAGTCAGCCCTGCAGGCCCGTGCTCAGGGCGGTGCCTGCCTCGTGCTCCCGGACAGGCAGCAGAGGAAGTTCCTCTGCCAGTGGGAGGGCAGCTGTTGGCATGACACACACAAGCTGTCGGGCTGAGAACTACAGAGATTTTGAAGACTTCAGAAAATTTTGCAAAAGTATTTTATGCTTTATTGGTTTACTGCCACAAGTTCATAGAAGTTTGGAATGCTGAGCTCATCGTTTTGACAGGAACTTAGATGTGCTTGGTTCTGGCAGCTGGTCAGGTGCTGAGGTGGGCCTGCGCCTGCTCCCGCCCTCCACCTGGAGTCAGACAGACATGGTGCACTGGCACAGGCCAATGAGCCCCTGAGGGCAAACACAAGTCTTTTCGAATCTGTTTCTTACTGGAACTTTCATATCCAGTTCACATCTTGCCAGAAATTGAGAAATTCCTACTAGACATCAATCTGCATAAAGCATAGAGTTCATCTTTAAAGATTCAAGTCATTATTCAGTGTTTTTCTTACTGATCTAAACAAGACAGGTGTGTGGAAGGCCAGAAAGGTGGGGGGGGAGGGCAGGAAATGCAAGTAATCAAAACAGAAGAAATCTGAAAAATAATTTATTTAATAGCAAAGGGAGAACATTTCAAAGTACAGATTCAGTTGAAAATACTGATATTCAAAGGAACAGCCTTGTATCTACTGCCAAAGCATAGGTTTTTCTCAAAATTACAATTAAAATTACAAGTATTGGTTTTATTATAGGAAGATATTATACATGAATTCCTCCAAGTCAGAACACAAGGACTGCATGATTTAATTTCTACATAAATGACAATATACAAAGTATCAAATATAAACCATAGTATAGCAGGAAAACTGGCAGAAATAATTATCAAACAGTAGCAATAATTAAAACCACCATGTGAAAGGTCTTCTATACACAAAAACTGGAAAATACTGCTGGAGCTTTAACTGAATTCAACCCTGACCCATCACCCTCAAACTTCCTTCTTCTTCAGTATTAGTGGGCCCACATTGTCGCCTGTCAACTCATTGTGTTTGTTATGTGATCCGTCACAGGCGGGGAACTACAAAGGAAAAAGAATCCATGTGTTACTTTTAAATGATTCAGTAAGCAGAAGTATTTGTGAAGTGCTCAGATAAAGAAGGCCTATTGCTGGTGGGGGTGGGGAAGTAGCCACAGAGCGCTTTCCTGACCGTGGGTGGGTCTCACCAGCACGTGTCACACCGCATTACTAATTCCACACCTTTTGGAGCAGCTTCACTGTTCCTTACTGCGCCCTTACTGAGGCAGCGTGGCTGCAACGCTCGGCCATTCGGCTGCCCGCTCGCTGGGCCGCTGCAGGCTCACTGGGCTGTGTCCCAGTCCCACCCCAGGCACCAGCCTCTCCCCTTGACCCTCCACCCCTACTCTTCTGGCCTGCTCAAACCTGGTCAACATCTAACAATTGTAAATAGTTAATTCTTACTTGGTATAGTTTTTTTTTAATTTTGGTGGTTTCACATGAGGTAATAAAGTAGATTTATAAGATGAAAATAAGCTCTTATTCTCTGGAGCTCTAAATTGCAAATCCTTAAAAAAATTAGAATTCAGAATATAAAAGTCCTACTGTTAACATTTTTAAAAACTTATAAAATTCACTCGTTTTGATCTATTTCTGCATTTTGATCTATTTCTGCATTTACTAAGCACAATCTTTATTTTAAAAAACAGAGTTAAATGGCAATACACTTTTTATATTACATCATGCTTTCATGTTATTATTCTCAAATATTAAAAAAAAGTCTTTCTGATACTGAGAATGTGGCTTCTAAGCACTTAATACCGCACCACTTGTCTTAATAGTTAATCGGTCCCTACTGTCAGATGGGCTAAATTGTGCTGTAACAAAAGATGCTGTGATGGACATCACTGTATTTAAAGGGACCCTGACAACAGTGGACATTTCATCAGTGATCAGTCTCATCACCCCAAAGTCCTTGTTAATGTCCATATTGGAAGTCGCCATCACGGCTACCATTTGCGGGCTCATCCTGGACCTGAGGCCCTCGTTTCACTCAATCCTAAAGTACCCGTGACGGGGAGAGATGACGAGAAAATAAACCTAACCCTGAAGGCCAGGCGCTGAAGACTCAAGCGATTTCACGCACAGCCACCGGACGGCGGACCGCACCCAGCAGCTCCTCTGGACCTGCCCCGCAGCCAAGGCGCCAGCCCCCGCATTTCTCTGCCTGCCCAGCATCTGAAACTTCCTCCCAAAATGCAAGCTCTGGGCAGCGGGCGGCCTCGGGGCTCCCTGGCCAGCGCGTGCCCGCGGCCTTACCGTCTTGGAGCGCCAGCACCGGCAGTACGCGGCTTTGGTCAGGCACAGGTCTTCGATGTTGATTTCGTTCACCACTTTGGGGTTCTCCTTTTGTATCTTCAGATTAATCAAGCTATCCTTCTGTTGTTTTTTCTTCGGGAGGAATGGACGAACCGCAAGATAGCCCAGCAGCGCGAGCACGCCGAGGAAAGGCAGCAGGCGCAGCCATTCTGAAACTGAGCACAGGCCGAGTGAGGCGCGCGCCCGGGCACCCCCGCGCCCCAGCTCTTCAACTGACTCCGACAGTCAGTGGGGCGACCCGCACCCAGAGCCGCCTCAGTCTGTCTCCAGCGACGGGGGCTTGAGGGCGAAAGGCAGAAATGGAGACACAGATCTTCTTTCAAGTATGTTTCCCATCGTCCTCACTAAGTACCTTGGTGTTTATTTTCATAGCAGGAATCAGGGGCACCTTAATAACAAAATCCACTGTGTGATCTATTTTATAAGTTCAGATTCCCACTCTCTAAAATCACACACCAGAACAGCTGTAAATATTTTACCAGTGACCTGTTAAGTTCAAACAATGTTATCAATATTTTAATTTGCATTTCTGAACAAATATGATCCCCAAAGAAACATTGTTCTACAATCCGCATTTTCACATATTGAACATTCTCCTTGTTAGGTCAGTCTTCCCAGTGTTCATGAATCGGGGACGGGACAGAAGCACAGACAGGCTGTCTCCATCAAGCGCGGGTGACACACCGAACACTTTGACTGCACACAGTGCCAGCACCTCTTGGGGCTCTGTGGAACCCTTTCTCCCTGGCTTGATCTCTGACACCCTTCATGGGGTGCCTGCCTGACACTTGCTAAGCAATAGAGAATCACCTTGTCAGGAAAAAGGAGGCACATGGAAGGCTACCGTGAGGACATGCCCACTAGCCGGTGGACAGACTGCGGATGCCAGTGTGCTCTCACGGCTCCACGGTCTGCTGGAGCAAATGCACTGGGCAGGTGCCAGCTGCACCCGTTTGTGTGGGCAGGCTCTCCAAGCCAGAAAAGCCAAAGCCTGTTCTCTGCCGTGAATCCAGCCCACAGATCTATAGCTCTGCCGGTTCTACTTTTTTAATATTTATTTACGCACACAGAATTGCGGTACAAGCCAGAGGCTCCGGGGCGGTGAGAGGATTCACCAGAGACAGAGTGGGGAGCAGAACAGGCAGATTGACGAAGTACACTGCTGAGGGGAGCAGCGGGGAAACAGGAGAGGTCTACTGTGCTGTGTGGGTCACCTCCCTGGCTGGGGATCAAACTCACGGCTGTGGTGGGCTTGGAGTGCTGAGCTTTTAAACCACTGTGCCACCAGGCAAGGCCCCCTGCAGGTTCTCTTGGTAAAGCTACCTCCAGCCAGAGCCATGAGTTGCCATCTCACCACTGGCTTAATGCCAACTCTCCCCAAGTGAAACTTTAATATAACACCCAGATCACACAAGAGTGCCTGGCAATGAGACAACAGCCGGCCGATGGTGAGAGAGCACGGCGACAGGTAGGGACTGGTAGCACCTAGCGCTTTGCCTGGCAGGCGGCTACTCCAGGCTCTGGGCCGAGGTAGAGACTTCTACATCCTTGACAAGTGAGTTCAAGTCGTGGACACGACAGACTATTCTTTGGGGAAGGGGTCTCCCTACACATCTGTGTTTTCCAGCACCCACTGCCACGCTGCTGTGATCTGCACCTGGGCTTTTAATCCGTGGTGGTAAGAAAACAGGCAAGGAGTGAGGGACCCTGAATGAACAGCACCAGGACGCCATGACATCCTGGCCATGTGGGGACGCAGCAGGGTGGGTCGGAGGAGGGGGCCACGTGGGCTCGGCCTCTATTGGGGCTTCCTCCAAAGGGCAAGGCGGGCAGGCGCAGTGCCCACTGTCTGCCAGGCCCTGCATGCCCCAGAGCAGCAGGGGCTCCACGCAGGTGTGTGAGCACAGGTAAGAGAGGTGGCTGGGGTCTGGGCTTTGGATGGTGGGTTTCCACAGGAAAGGTGTGCTCAGGTAGGTAGCTTCCAACCCCCCCAAGATGTCAAAGCATCATTAAATATTTTTTGACATAAAGTGAACTAGCTCAGACAGCTGTTACTGCTCATTGTAAGAGAAAATGTGTACAGTGTACGATATAACTTTGACTTAGGATTTTAGGGTCATTAAAAACGTTATGATGTAAAAATAAACATTAATTTTTAAAAATTGGCAAAAAACGACATTTATACAAAATTTATAAAAGTCTAAAAAATAATATAAACTGTAATCCTACCAGCCACCTAATTTGTCAATAGCACCTATGCTTAGTATTGCGCCTGGCCTTAAGCAGGGTCTCAATGACCAACCTACTCGCAGTGGATCTGTTTTCTAAAGCCAGAACAGGAATAACAATTCCCCCACAATCCAAACGCTGTATCTGCATTAATAGAGCTAATACCCTCCAAAGCTCTATTCTGACACTTTGGTGTTCCCTATTATTAGTCCTGGGATTCACTGTTTTAAGAACAGGACTATTGTTTCATAGAAGTAAAGTACTTTAAGTGGGGCAGAAGGACAATACCAGGGTTTTACAGGTAGCATTAAAGCCAGCTGTACACTGTTTCCTGACTTCTGAATGGGAAGATGATTAGTTCTCTCTTACACACTCACATGCCAAGGGGTGTGTAAAGGTCCAATATTAGAATACAATAAAGGTCCAATATTAAAGGTCCAATATTAGAATACAATATACCTCAAAGGGCAGAATCACATACTTTATGTTAAAAGCCTCACTCTGAAATATGTCACCTAACAAATGCAGGTACCTGGATTCTGGTGGATTCTCGGAGTAAGGACTGTATTAAAGGCCAAGGCAATGTGTTTACCAAGAATGCAGAGTCATCGTGAGAGGCTTTAAAGAACCACAGGCTCTGAATGGGGAAGGAAAAACAGGCAAGGGCAGCATGAACTGCAACTTTTCCCCTCAGTTTTCACAGATAACAAACAAAAATAGTTTTTGATCTACTGGGCATTTTAAACAATGGCTGAAAACTTACTTCCAGGTTTTTATTTCAACAGTGGTCGAAGTATGGCCTCCAAAACTCACTCCTTCGTGGGTCAAATGTCTGTTTGCTACTACAGTCTATTCTGAAGGAAGGTGGGGAGCAAAAACTGGCCCCCCAAAGTTCTTGCACAGTGCTCCAAAATAGATCCTGCAAGGTTACTGGGCATGCCCAGTATAAAAGGGATTATCTCATAGTTTTCACAGCAAGTATGACAGCACATAAGTGTTTCCTGAACAAAGCAGCAAGGAGAAGTAGTTGCAGGCGTTCTGCAATGGACTTAAGTTCATGTGTGCTCCAACACATTATGATTTGAGCCACTGGTCCTCACATTAAGTAGTGAGCAACCTTAAAGAGGAAGCTAATTTTTGACTAAAGGAAAGGAAGATTTAGGTTGTGCTTCCTTGATGCCCTTCATGGGAATGAGGTATTTGTCAACAGTGGGAACTTCGAAAACAACAACAAACATGCTTCTACAATCTTCTATCGCTCAATCAAACATCATGCTTTCTGATGTGCTCCCACTACACTTACTCTATGTGTAGAAAATTGAAACCAATATAAAACCAGACGCTGCCATGAACAGTTAATCCAGGTTATGCTGGACGGGTGTGGGGACAGACTACATTCTTCTGGTTATGCAAATGACAATACCCTTCTCACCTGTACTATGGCTCTAGTGAGTACCCTCAAGGGTGTAAGTCAAAACAAAGTTAAGACAATTGGCATGAAATTACTGCCCAGTGAACACCACAAATAAAAAATACACATAAGGCACACCAAATTTCCAGCTGCCGGGAAATGCTTAGTCCTGCTATGAGGTTAATACATAATACAGCTTAAACTCAGTGAAGTACTTGAGTAAAGGAAATGATCACGGGGGAAATACTTTTTCCAACAATAAACAAGGGTCAAAAGAAGACTGACGTTATACTCAGTTTGAAAGATTTTTTCCTTTAGCGATTTTTACATCGCTTGTGATGTTTAGATGTTTCTTTAAAGTTTATCATTTGGTTCCCAGTTTTCTATGCTCTCTACCAAGCCCGTTAATACCTAAGAATGAAAACAAAGCCCCCAACCCCAGCAACAGACTGTGTAGCCCGTAACTCAGACTCGTGACTCAGAGGTCTACCATGCAGTTTGTGTCCGCTCCACCCGCCGCCGCAGGGCGCCTTTTCGTTTTCTTAAGGTCTGAGCCGCACGGTCTCCAGGGCACCCTATTTATTTCAGAGGATATTCCCTAAACGGCACCAGAAAACTCTCCGCTCAAAGCCACTTCCACGCGACCTTTGCCAACGGACTCGACCTCCCTCCCGCCCGCCGGCCGGCCGCCGACACGGCGTCGTGAGGAGCAAACGCAGAGCCGCCAGGGCGCCTCGACGGGCGCCTCCGCCAGCGCCC